AGCATAGTCATTATGTTTTCCACAAGACCTCTAACCTGCATTCCAACCTCTTCTTCACATCCCTGAGAGTACTAAAAGCTCCAAGTGCATAATGTGCAAATTTATTCGAGTATGTATAAGTACACGGAGAAACTTTAGAAATCTGTTTAGTTGCAGTGAGTAAATGATACCTGGCAGACTAGCCTGAGGGTAACTTCAATCTCACACAACGATCAGCGTGGTTTGAGCATCTATCGTAAAATCGGTTGAAATAGATTGGATTACGCTAGCAACTGGTCGCATACACAAACAACTAGTCAGTATCAAAGTCGTAAAGGCTTTGAATTACAACACATTGCCATACCATGACCAAAATGTCATTTTTGCTGCAACACGTAGTTAAAAAAAAAAAATAAATATTACAAAATGGACAAAAATAACGCAGTAATACTACAAAAGGAAATTACAGAGAAAATGAAAAAACATATTATTTCATCTCCCCGAAGGAGTTGTAACAATTCTCGAAGCTCAGGTGCCATTAAGGGCTGATGAACACCACTCGTGCTTACATGTTATTGGAGTAAATGTGGAAGTGTAGATACTATCGTCGGTGTGGTACGTCATAAATGTATGCATGAGTCGAAGCGTATGTTTCTTCCGGTTATACAAGAACACGAACAAGAGTCTGACCTACACTTGGACAATATAGATATGTTCCTTGAGTCCACACGAACGATGACACCATATTATCTATTATCTAAAATTCATACATACATTGTATGTGCTAAATTTACTCTCAATAGAACTTGATATTTTTTTTGCTTTTTTTCTCCATTGGTCCTGTTAATAGGAGGTAAGAAACTACAGAGTTTAATACTGAGAAAAAATACACAACGAGGAATGACGTAACAATCGTGTGCCTCAGGCCATGTCGGTCCCCATTTCTTTTTCTTTCCTTCCTTCCTTCCTCTCTCCTTATTTTTCTCCTCATTCTTCGATGAATTGTTTGGAGAAAAAAATAAGATTCTCCAAGGGTAGTTAACGATACTGGCACACCTGACAAACTTACTTATTACTTCCTTCACTGTAAACTTTTTACAAATTTTTTATTGCTACCTTTTTTATCCTGATTATCTGTCCGACAATTCAACTGCTCTAGCCCAAGCTTTTGAATTACTTTGATTGAGTAAAGCTGCCAGAAAGTTTACTTTTTAGCAGTTTTTTCCACATCTACTGATACTTAGTTTCACATATCTCTTTTTTAAAGTTCCCTGTTTTGATAAAACAAACTCATTTAGATTTTTTTATGTAAACATCTAAAGTAAAAACGAAATTTTGACTCATTTTAATTTCACGAGGTAAAAATTCCTCAACTCATGCTGTAAGAGAAAAAAAGTGTGGTACATAATCAGAGCTCGTTAGAGTTTCAAACTCACTTAGCTTAGGTTGTGTGAATTACTGACGAAAATTCATGAACCCGAGGGGCTTTTTACGAAAATTGTTTAGTGGTCGATGTAGTGTATGTCAAGAACAACTAGATGCTATTGGTAAATGATGTTATTTTTATTTTTCTTTTTTATAAAAATCCTTAATAATAACGATAATAATTTTAATAATGATAACATACCACAAGAGTTAGTTCAAGTATTATTAATTAACTACTTTGTTAAAGTAACAAAGAAGATTGTAGCATACCTGGTATTAGAGTAGTATTTTCTCATTGAAACTTTTTCCTTTTATACTAGTGAATTTAATTCACAGCGTTGTTACAAATTAATAAGCCTATGTACCTGTATCTATATATTGTTCGCTATGACGTTTTCACGATATCCATCAAGAACGACGTGTTCACAAATGATAGAGATGGAGAGGCTGATATAAATCGTTGCAGAAAAATTTTCATTTTCATCCTCTAGACCGAGGCAATCTATCACGTCCTCTTGTGCGGATCATTCCTCTGCAGTTCCACCGTCTCCAATCGATATGTCTCTACCTCTCGCTTTCTCTCTCTCTCTTCTTCTCTCAATCCACTCTCAATTCGCCGATTCATTCATCTCGGACGACGCGACACCCGTGAGTTTTTCTTTACATTTTTTTAGTTTCATAAAAAACTGAGGAATTATTACGAATCCTCATGCCCAAGAGCAGTGCCAGATGGTTTGGCACGTCTCTATTTTTCTCTCATTTCACCTACATGTGTATAACTATATTTATGTATAAATAATATACGTACATATATAGAACCATTACTCACTCTTGACGTCAAACGAAAGAGAATCATCTCCTCGCGCTATATAACACAACAATGCTGGACTATTTTACTAAGCCTCCTCTACTTTTTCTTCCCTATACTCTAAATAATTTCCGTGCATATCAATTAATCATCCGGAATTTTTTTTTCACTTTCACCCAAAAAAAAAAATTATCTCCATACAATTTATTCATCTTCTTTTTTCTCCTTCCCTCACTATAATATATTTTGTATAAGTGAAAGCTGTCAGTACAAACACACTATCTTATTTTCCCTCTGATGTTTCCGATCTCAATGGAAATGTTTTCCTGGTTATCGAAGATTCTTGAGATCATTGTCCTTCTCAAATGTCTGACAATTCCAGTTTATTTTTATTTCAACACGACCAGCTTCTATACACATTTTCGATCTATCGGTCGAGGAAAATTTCTCGCTCCGACTTACGGTAGGTCTCATGCCTAAAGCTTCTGCGAACTACACGAAATATCCGGACGATGAGCTTGAACTCATTCCATGAATCCACGAAGGATATACCCGGAAGTCTTGACCTAAAGAGGGAGAAGCGTGGAGAGGATAGACGAGAAGAGATAAATGTTCGGTTCCGAGACTTGGTTTCATGAAATAAAACGTGATAAATAGCCGGATGAGTAGACATTAAATTCTCTATTCATGAGCCCCATCAGCTTATATGGAATTAACACTAATTTTTGTTTTTAATTTGCTATTTTGATAACCGGTTAAATAATAATTTCCAGTAAATGAAACGATCAAATCTGATTGAATACAAACATCGCAGCCATTGAGAGCAAACAATAATGGTGAATAAAGCATCACAAGGCAATGCCTAAGTATTATTGAATCTGTGATGGTCTCATCGTATAATATCGCTCCGGTTTCTGACAATTGCAACTATATAATACCTTCTTCTTGAGACAATAGGTGAAAGCAGAGAAAGGAAAATCTACCAACTGAGTTAGACTCATCCATTAGTTACTATCTTCACTTACTTCCTCTGTTCATCGTCATCCAATCGACTTCAATTACTCCTTTTTTTCTTCTTCTTCGGCATCCGTCATTTTATTTCCTCATTTCCTAAGGATCAACCTTGTCGTCTACATTTACTCCGGGCCTTCTTTACCACATGAAAACCCATATCTCACAAGTTGAGTCAAGTGTAGAGGATTGAATTCATCGGCAAACTTTTCGTCCATGTGTATGTGTGTTTTACTACACTTACTTCTTTATATTTTTGTCCTAAAAATAAGCAAGGATTAGTTTAACTTATAGATCAAGAATCACTTATTTTATTTTGTAAGGAAAGAAATTACTTGAGACATTTCATTTACTTTTTTATTGAAATTTTTTCTTGTTATATTAAAAATAAGAAATTAAAGTTACAGGATGATTGAAGAATATTGAAGTATTTATTATAAAATGAATTTGATTTTGTTCAGATGTAAATCATAAAATGGATATGGAATTTTAGTTGGAAACTCAAAAATGTCGAGTTTCAAGTGTAATATAATTTTACATAAATTATTTACTTTCTACGGAATCCTTCTGAGAGGATATAGAGGGATTTATGTTCAGGATATTTCGCACATGAGCTATTCAGGGTGCATTATATATATTTTTTTATTCCTCACCTCATGCATTCAGTTTCGTTCCCTCGTTTTGTGTGAAATCCACTTTAATCTCTGAACGCCACAATGGCTTACGCATAACGAATTCTTGTCGTCGTCGTCGTCACATATAATAGAATAGAAAAAGAAGCAAAAAATTTCATATTTAGGTCTGAAGTATGATATCATGACATAAAGTTGAAACGAAAAAGTTTGCTACAGAAAGCACTGAACCTCGAAGTAGCCACTTTAGTCTAAATGAGCGTCAATATGTCATGGCGAAAAGGCAAAAATTACCTAAACGAAGCAAAAGATAAATGGAGGATGAAATGAATACATAAACAAAAAATTCATGAATTAATATATAAATATTTTCAAAAGTCCAAATGAAAATTTTATGTTTCTTCCAACATCTTTTCATCTTTTCACCTTGATTGTGTTTTAAAAAATTGTAGAAGCTTTACCAGACACATGAGCTTCTCTCAAACTTTAGCACTTTTTGTAAGTAAAAAAATTTGAAGTGAAAGAAGAAGTTTTTTGAAAAAGAGAAAAGAAAACATAAAATCCTTCTCGATATTCACATACCTTCTTTATAAATACTATGGAAAAATGTTCAGATTTTCCAACAAGGATATCAGGATTGTAAAGCTCTAGGAGTTTTCAAAATTTCGCCATCTTAAGCATCTGAAACTCTCAAATACGTATTTTCATACCACTTCGACCAGTCATATCGAGAGATGCAGCCTAATGTCTGTACTGGGGCTCGTATTAAAATACACCGGCATTACATTTTTATGAAAAGCAAAAATAAAAATATTTGCATAATATTTATGTGCACTCTCATACTTGATATTGAATGCAATAATATATACGAACGATAGAAACTTCTCGTCGATTTGTCTAGATGAAATTGCTTTCAGGTCTAACGGACAAAACACTTATTGAGAATTCACACTAGAGAATACATCACATGAGCCAAAGGAAGACGACGTTTTCCGGAGGTATAGAGAATGATAAAGCGACCAGAGAACACAAATCGATTCAACAATTTAGTCCAAGCTCCTTCATCTCCATAATTCTATCGATCACATTTCTTTCTTCCCAAGTATTTATTCATTATCTTAATACATTTTTCTCTTCGTTTTCAGCTTCCAGAATAGAAACGTGGCACGCTAAGCCAAGGAATGGCGTCGACGTGGCGTTGGAAAGAGCGGAAGCACTGCTATATCGTTTCGCTCGAGCCTTTGTTCTATACAAAGGAAAACACAAAAAGGACTGTAGGTGAGAATTAGTATACAGCCTATTTCCATTCATTCTTGCTCTTTGAACTATGATTCAATGCCACCATTATAAATATTATTGTATTTATTGTTACGTTGGCTTACTACAAATTTTTTGGGTCACATCATTGGAATTCGAAATGAGTTGTGCAAAATGAAAGCCCAGTTTGGGGTTTTTATTCTTTTTTTGTTCCTTCCTATGACCATTTTCTTATCGTATACAGAATGGAAAGAGGTTACAGGTAAGCGAAAAAAGTCACGGATCCGTTTATTTCAAGCACAAAATCCTCATTCTTGTCGTCTCGACTTCGTATCTCTTCCGCCCACCAATTCCCTTTGGTTTTTCAACCTTCTTTTTCGAGAGCTTTTTATTACAAGCGACAAATCGATTCCCATTGGTTTTTGTTTCCCATTTTTATCATAATAACTGACATTAATGCATATCACGAGAATGTCCCGAGATACTCTTTGATTTTAGAGAAACGAAGGCAACTTGTCAGAGGTGCAAGGAACGAAAAGAGTTTATTAAGGATGTGGCGACATAAAATAGTACTGTAGCGAGTACACAAGACAGACGAGAGTTGTAGACCAGCAAACGTCCAAGAGAAGATAAAAAATAAACTGAGAATACAAAAGAGAAGTAAGGTATGTATGGAACAACAGGGCAAAACCAAGTCTTATGGGAAATAATACTGCTATTATTTATTATTCTGACACGATCTATTTATTTTTATTGATTAAAAGAAGTTTTTTTTTAATTCTATTTTCCAATATTAAAAAATTATTGTGTTTCCGGGAAAATGAAGTAAAGCTTTTATTAATAAAAGTAAATATTATATTTTCATTTATCAAAAGGTTTTTGATGCAATATATATTTTGAAATCAGTTAGACACATTTTTATAGCTTTCAAAAAATAAAACAAATCATCAATTTAATTCTCAATTCCATTATACCGTAGAAAAAATATTTTCATTCAAATAATCAAAACATATATTTTTAATAAAAACAAAACCGTTTTTTTCATTTAGGGATATTTGATTATATCTAGAAAAAAAACAATTGTAAAATTTAGTTCAATTGAACTTAGACCCTTAGTGATCTATTGGTTATAATGATCAATGATAAGGTTGATAGATGAATTGTTAGACAAACAACAAAATAATTTTATAGAAATTTTATTTAATACTTTAGTAAAACAATGTTATCATTTCATCAAAATTAATAAATTTTGTTCAAAGAAATATATAATCAAGGGTACTGAATTGGTATTATCATCTAGTTAGTTCCCACGACTGAGCTAACATTAGTTACCTTACACAATGATGGCTCAGACATTAAATAATTATTTACTGATTCATTAATAGAGAGTATGGTTCTTTTTATTATACACAGAAAGAATTCTATTTCTTAACAGAATAAAAAAATAAAAATTGTAAAGAAATACGGGGCATACAGCTTTTTCGATTATTGATAACTTAGTGAGACAAAACGGATCCTCTAAAGCTATTAATACGAAAGATAACATTAATTTGAAAATATGCTTCGAATATCGCTCATTTAAATGATCATATGTATGAGTCATTTTAAAATCCAAAAAGCCGTTTTGTCTTGTATCCCCCTACATTTTGAAACAGAAATAAAAATATATCTCTTCAACATCGAATTTTGAGTTTTTGTGAGTAATTATTTTATTGCAAGATTTCGTAAGTTATTAATTTACTTTCACGGAAAGAGAAGAATTATAATTTTTACTCTAATATATGGTAGCTTGTCGCTTCAGGTAAAAAAAGCAGTAAGCAATTCTTTAATTAGCATACATTAGAATTTTTTTTTGTAAAAATTCTGATATACTCTAGAATTTTAATATTTTTTTTTTCTTGTATAGTTGACAATTTTGATTCATTATAAAAACTTTACAAGAAAGAATTGTAATATATCTTGATTAAATAATTGCTATTGTCATTTTTCTACCCGAAGCGACAAGCTACCGTGTATTGGAAAAAAAATTACAAATTCTCTCTCTCTCTCTTTTAGAAGAACTAAAAAATTCAATGTTAGATAAAAACATTTTTAAATAATGTTACAATTATCAAGAACATTTTTTCCATACACTGAAGAAAAAATTTCCTCAAATGAAAGAATTTTTTATTTAATCAATAAAAGGAACTTGAATTATTTTCAAAATAATATTTTATTCGTTCCAATAATATTGTTATAAAAAACACAGTTTTTCATTTGTTTCAATGTTACAAAAAGTTTAAAAACAAATGACATTTTATTCATTTGATTAAATAAAATGATTTTATTGAAATATTCGTAATTTCGAAGAAATATTTCATTACGATTATTTGAAATTTCGTTGTTAATGATCAAATGAAATATTTTTGTAATATTCTGTATAGAGAATACTATTCCATATTTGGCCATTTTTCTCTAAATCAATACAATAAATTTGTTTCCATGTACAATGAATGTTTTTCTGTTTCACTTTCAGTTGCATTTTGGTTCAAATTTTAGAAGTGTAAGGAAGAAAAAAGGGCTCCTAATGGGCCTAGAAATAAACCGCGTATCGTACTGAGCGATGCGAGTAGTTAGGGCCGAGGCCCTGCTAGTGAGCATGTGGCTCACTAGAGAATGAAGAAGCAAAACGTCCGGACCCTATCGTTGATCGTCTGCACGTTCACCTACCTCCTCGTTGGCGCTGCAGTATTTGACGTCCTCGAGTCCGAGACGGAGAAACGGCGCAAAGAAGCGTTGGATGGTGTGTATTAATTATATTCAGCACAGCTTTTACCTTATTACCATACAAGCTTTGTATTATAATTTCAATACACGGAGAAAAGGGAATAGAAATGATTCCTGTGCTGTGCATTAAATTAGTTCTACATTTGCTAGCATTTGAATAATTGCTATTCAAGTACCAAAGTATTTCTTGTTCTATGCGGAAATAGGAACTATAAGTTATAGTAATAGATTTTACAACAGTTATATTGTTTTCCCTTAGTAGATAATGTAATGGTTTAACAAGAGCAACTTTTTAAATTTCACTTAACAGTTTTTTGTATTAATAGCTAAACTGTTTGATATAATTGAATTTGGTTTCTATTGTTAGTTTTAGTTGTTGATGGAAAAAAATTTGTATTAATTACAAAACTTTATATTCAATTAACTGTGATACTGCAAAAAAATTTAGAAGCCAGTTTAAGAATAATTATTCAAAGTGTTATCTTTAGATTCCTAAACGGTATTAATCAGATAAGTTTTCAAGATAAAGAGATTTCTTTATTATTAACAAAATGATAATCAAGAAAAATGTTTCTTCAAATAAGATGAAAAATTTTTTAAACAAAAATATGAATTTTGACTAATATTATTATTCAAATAAAATTTAAAAATAATGATAAATTATTTGACTCATGAAAAAACATTTCTATTATAATTAATCACCTTATTAGTAAATAGAAATTGAGAATTTCCCTCAATATATGGGAATAACAATTCAGCAATAATTCTAGCACGATCATCTACATATGAAGTCGTTCATCAATTTTTTACTTAATGAATTTCGTTCATAAAAGTATCATTTCTATCAAATTAGAATAATACCAATTCTTTCGTTTCTGTATTATTTTGAAATGCTAATTTTTATTCATTTATAATCGAAGAAAAAGTAATATATCAAGGACCATTTAATACAATCCACAGTTTTCTTTAGCAATACCCGAATATATCCTATACTTTATCAGGACATGTCTGATACTCTTTTCTCTATGTACCATCAACGTAAAAATGTAATAAGAGAGTTACAATAAAAAAAATCCAGTACTTTATGCAAATACGTTTATTTCAATTGTCTGAATTCAATTTCGTAGATTGATATTGTTATGTTTAATAAAGATCTATTCTAATAAATACCCTTTTTATATAATATGAAAATATATCTAAGACAATTGTCGAAAATTCTTGACACTTCAAATAATCAACTTGAAGAAATCTGATATAAAATGAAGATTGAAACGAGATAGGGTGCATATGAAATTTAAAAAAAAAATTGTATTACTTGAAAATATAAATTACAAAAAATACTTACATTTTATTGTTGAAATAGTAGTGATCTTTATATGTACTGACGTTTCACTTTAGTCTGTCACATCGTTTATTTTTATAGTGAGCGAATCTGCAATTCAAATAAAATGTTTTTGCTAAAAAATAATTTCAACTATCGGTTTAAAGTTAAATTGAAATTTAAGTTTTAACACGAATTTTCATTAATAAAATTGAATGTGGAAATCCTGATAACGTCAACGTCACGTGTTGGTTTGTCACGTGGTCAAATCTCTATTCTTGTACGTCACCACCCCTGTACTAAAGCGGTTTTCAAATTACTACTTTGGGATAAATTCCCTCCAGTTTGAATTTTTAAACTGTTTTTCAAACTAGGTCAAAAATATTATTCTAAATCAAGTATGATTAGATAAGAAATTTATTACTCTAATTACCATATTTCAAAAAAGTTATTTTTTAATAATTATCCAAGCTTGTAAAAATTTTTAAACTTTTTTTTATTTTATCATGTAACATCTCTTTTATACGTTTAACTAAAAATAACATCTTGAACAATCGTAAAAGATTTTTCTTTCCTTGTGATTCTGCTTGAGCACATTTTGCAAGGTATGCAATGGAAATGTGACCTCTTCTAGACTGAGGTATATTCATCCCTAGGGACTTGAGACAGATGCACTTTTGAACTTTTTTATTTTTAATAATAAAAACATTTAATATTATTTCATCACGAAGGTAAAACTCTGTAAGACAGTTTAATTTAATACACGAATAAATCATTTCAACTTTTCTTTCATTAATTTTGATTTAAAATTACTATTTTCTCAATCAATCAAAAATACATTTTTACTTTTATTTATTTTATTATTTCTTTCAATAACACGAATTAACAAAAATTATTAAAAAAAAAATTAATTTACTGTTAAATAAAAATATCAATAAAAAAATATTTTTAAAAAATTTTCAGGCTTGGATAATTTTAATTATTTTAATAAATGAAAAATAAATAATATGAACTAATGATGATTTAAACTATTTAGCCATCGAGAAAATGGTCATACGCAAATATAATATAAGCGAGGACGACTTCAAGATCATGGAAACTGTCGTGCTGAAGTCGGAGCCGCATAAAGCTGGACAACAGTGGAAATTTGCAGGAGCATTTTACTATGCCATCACGGTCCTCACTACTATCGGTCGGTATAAATTTAAACATTTATTTATTTTTCCTCTGCTAATTATGCAAAATTATTCGTCATACATAAATATGACGGATTATTATTGTAAAAGTGTGAGTGAGAAAAATATATTATTCTTATTTGTGCTGATCAAAGTTAATTTTCATTATCAGGTTACGGGCACTCGACGCCAAATACGATAGGCGGAAAGCTGTTCACGATGTTTTACGGGATAATCGGCATCCCCTTGGGTCTCGTCATGTTTCAAAGCATAGGAGAGCGCTTAAATAAATTTTCATCCGTCGTCATACGCAAAGTGAAACAGCTACTCAACTGTAAAGACGTTCAGGTAAAGCTGATAAATCTGGTTAACAGCATAAATATTTGAGATATTAATAGGTTTATGTAAAATATAAAATTTGATAAAAGCGAATGGAGGTTAATGTAATGATAATAAATAGTGATATAACATAAAAATATAGCAGTCGATTAGATACAGAAAATACGAGCTGATAATAAATTTTATCACTGAGATACAGTTATGTTAAATAGTAATGAGTGATAAGGGAATTTATGCAAATGCTTTGTCGTTATTTGCAATATATAATGTTGGCCTACGCCCAGAGTAATGAATGTTAATAAAATGTAAATTGTTCTAGGCATCGGAAATAAATTTAATTTTCGTTGTGACGTTTCTCTCGAGTCTAACGATAACCGGTGGCGCGGCTGCATTTTCACGATATGAAGGCTGGTCCTACTTTGACTCCGTCTACTACTGCTTCATAACCCTCACGACGATTGGCTTCGGCGATATGGTCGCCCTCCAAAAGGATAACGCACTCGACAATAAACCAGAGTACGTTATATTCGCTCTGATATTTATTCTCTTTGGATTGGCAATCGTAGCAGCATCCCTTAATCTTCTCGTTCTACGATTTGTAACGATGAACACGGAAGACGAGAGGCGAGATGAGGCTGAAGCACTCCAGGTACTTACACTTGATCACTATCGTTTAATTAAATGGCCTATTTAGCATATTACTAATAATTTCATTTAAAGGCTGCACAAGGCGCAGTGAGATTGGAAGGAGATGTGATAACTGCAAATGGCTCGATACTGTCGGGTCAAATGGGCAATCAGGGTGACACGATATCTTTGTACGACGACGCGTCTGTCTGCAGCTGTAGGTGTAGTGGATTCTACAGGAAACAACGAAGACCACGATTCACCGTTCGTCGTTCACCTGGCAAGATATCGCATCTGTTGCCTATGCAGCAGTTTCCGGCCTCGAGTTTTAGGGATGATATTCGTCCTCCACCACCTCTTACGCCGCTTCTGCAACTGCCACCAATATACCAACACCGAGCTAGCATCTGACGACCCCCATCAGTTAAAACTCTGCCCACGCTCGCTCACGTAATACTGCAGTACCAAATGGTGCGACGAGCATCTTTTTAAAACATAGAAATTCATGTCCACCTTCTAGACTACGAGAATACTTGAATATTTATTTCATTATTCATCACACTATAATAATACTACTAATAATAATAATACTAATATTATTATATAATTCAAATGTGATACGAACTAAAGTATTGGGTAAACGGTTAATACATCGGATGACCCATTATATATAAATATCTCCTTCGTGCTACGGTGTAATTGTCGTCAAATTCACCTACATCTTCCTCAGAGACTATTATATACCACTTTCAAATACTTCTTCGCTCAAAATACTCGACGTATTAATATACGTTAATCCGATCCACATCTTTTCCTTTCCTTATAAGACGCAAGTCTCGGAATTTCGTGGACCCTATATTTCATGATCCCAATGTCTCATTTTCATTTCATCATTATATTATAGTTACAAGGAAATCTTGATAATCTTGTACAAAGAATATAACGAAAAAAAAAATTTTTAATTATAGCGAACAAGTGATCATGTGTTCTGTAGCGTGACAAAATATTCACAAAAGCATACAGATTATTATATATATATAAATAATATATTGAATATATATATAAATAATATATCTGACGTTCAAATTTAAGGCAAAGAAAAAAAGACAATTTTTAATTAACGAATTTTGCAATTTGTATGTATATATGAAATATAAATACAAAATAGTTTTAGATGCTAAGAGTTGAGGCGACTTTGTGCCTCGATGTATATATATATATAATTAATATTAATTTTAAAAAAAAAACTCACGTAACGCTGTCGTGGTGATGAAAAAATTCCGAATTCTTTCACTTCTTAAACTCTAAGTATGAAATAAAATAATTTACTTCATTACAATATTTCTCACTAGACGAAGCGCATTAAATACAAATCAGATTAACACACAAATATAAAATAAACCATTCCAATCACACGATATATAAACTTTGCTTCTGGACCAGAAATTAACAAAGTCATTATCGAAACGGGTCAATCATGTATTTGAAATATTCCAAGGTCTTCGTAAATGAAATGGATAAAATAAATATATCCTGATATCATGATTTTTAAAGTGTTGTATAAAAATAACCTATTGTACTATTGATTATATTAGCTGCTTATTTGAATCTTATTAATATATTCCTCATCTTAACTATATTTCAATTTGCATTTAATGAACAAAAAAAAACAAAGAAAATTAATAATAATTATAAATGGTTTAATCCACCACTTTTTCTCTTCTTATTATCAAATTAAAATTCCAATTAATATTAATATTCTTTATCATTAAAACCAAAGTGACATTTTAGGATTTAAAATATTTTATAGAACAACTATAGAATCGTAATGAATAATTGAACAAATTTAAAAGAAATAAAAGAGACGATGACAAAAGTATTGATTATACTTGAAAATTTTCGCATACCTAAACTTATATTTAGGCATATTATTAATAATTATAATTAATCACCGTCGACAAAGGATGACGGAGCTTAGTTAGAAATGGGACACAATTAGTGATATGAAGATAATGTGCTTTGTTGGTTTTACGAGTACAAATGGCCGTAATAATGAATGAAAAGTAAAGATACAATAGCGGATTAATAAGAATGACAATGAGCGACAATGCTCGTAGGCCAAAATACCGCTCACATTTTTTGTCATAGAGCGATTTTTGTTAATAATTGTATATGAAACCTGTAATATAATATACATACATATACATAAATATATATAAATATATATATTAATAAAAATATGTACTGAGAGAAATGGTTGATCTTAAAGAGAAAATTCATTTTTGCTCAAGAGGTATTACTTTCTAAAGAACTTTAGTAAACATCATAAACTATTATTTTATTGGCTATAATTCATTGATGGAAGCTACAGTTTAGTATTTTATGATGAAATGGGTAGTTGCTTTTAATGAATATTTATATATTCCCAAGCTGTTAAATATATGCATTTAATTTTCATACTAAAATAATAACTATAAATTGTATATGAAATTATTTAATAATGATTTATCGATTTAAGAGTAATGATTTGTCTCAGTGTCAATTGTAACGTATAAAGCTAAAAGTGGACCACAAAAAGTTGTGACACTTTTGCTATTTTACGAATTAAGGATATGGCCTTCGTAATGTCATGTCGCTGAGGATCAATATAATATACATATACGCGTATTTTACCTCTTCTTCTTCTTCCAATTCTACATTTCTCTCAGAATCGTGTTCCTTCGAACTTTGCATAAAATAACAAGTTGAACAATTGCCAAAACAAAAAAAAACTATTACGCTTCGTTAAAGTCGTGATAAGCGATATAGTTATATAAGTTTTATTCCCATATTCGTCGATTGATGTTTTATGATTTTAGCTGGCTGAACTAAAATAAAATCCTAATTGATAAATTATAATCAACAAATTATCTTGTATATCTATTTCACGTATCGAAGAAGAGAAAAAGTATAACTATTATTTAAAAATATGTACGAGTTGCCAACGAATTTTAGACCAAAGTCAACTTCCCCAGCGTCGACGATTAGTACGATAATAAGAAATATTAAGATTAAATATTATTGTAAGATTAATTGATTAATAACAAAATTAAACAAAAATAAATAACAATAATAAGAATAATAATAATTACTAATAATAATTAAAATAATTGGCAGTATCGAAATTAAATGACTGCATAACGTTGAAGAATTTCATTTTGTAAAAAATTATTTTTAAAAAGAAAAAAAAAATTTCAATTAAATAGGTAACTAGAAAAAATATATTAAATATTAAAAAAAATATTTGTGTTTTGTATAGAAAAATTAATTGATCAGTAATTACATATTATGAAAAGACTATGAAAAAAATATCAGTAACAAAAGTTCGTTGCTTTTCATTTTCATTATTTGTTTTTTATTTTTTTTGAAGCATTTGTGACGATAATAAAAATTGCTCATTTAATCCATTTTATTAGTTTCATTTAAATGCCATTTAATATCATTGTCACAGCTTTCATGCGTGACATACCTCCAGCTGTGTGTGGTCGAATTCAGTCTCCGTTGGAGACAGATGCATTAGGAAACTGTCTCATGGATCATGTTTTATCTAAAAAAAAAACCAAAAAAAAATACAAATCAACTAATCTGGTAGTTTTGAGAAACCATTTTATGTAGTATTTCAATTATTCCTTAGTATTAATAATAATAATTAAAATAAAAAAAAAAACAAAAAAAAGTGATTTTTTAATAAAAACGCATGCATTCAATAATCGTCAATTCAAGAGGCAGTTTCCAATTACGCTAATCGATATTACTAGCCAGATTGACGTGAAAAATGCATTCATCATGTAAACATTAAACTTCCCGGATTTTTAAATTTATAAATACTTCATTAAAAAATTAACACGGTAATATTATAATAGAGAAAAGTATATATAATATAATATATATTTGTAATAGTTATAAAGTAAAAACGATATTACAGCAGAACAAAAAAAACGATGAATGGAGATACTATAATAATAAATATGATAAATGAAATTTTGCTATTATTGTTTTAGCATCTAAGGTGTATAGTTAAAATAACTGAGGGAATCTAATAATGTAACTTAATCGATTTATCAACTAAAATTATGCATCGAAGCAACATAGTTTGTTAAATCACGATAACTCAATAAATTCATTGTTCTAAGGCATCATATAAAACTGGGCAAACGGAGAAAATATAAAAAAAGAGTAAATAAAACAGTAGATAGAAATAAATAGAAAAGATGGAAATATAAATAAACAATTCAATAACACTCAACTAATAAAAATAAGTTTCATTATTGATTAGAAATTTAGAAGGAAATTAAACATTAACCACAATTTTACCACGGCCAGAAAAAATCAATAAAAAATTGGTCTATCAATTAAATAAAAAGAGACTTTTATCATTTGGCTTTTGATCATAGTGAGTTTATGAAATCATTTTCAACTACTCTAGAGTAAGAGAAAATTTAATTAAATACCATTTAATTAAATATAAAATGAAGACAAAGCAAAATATTAATAATAGGAAAAAAGACAAATGATATATATCTTCCAGCGTAATTAGACGAGAGTGCCTATTGAGGAAAATCAGGATTGTTGAAAACGAAACAGTTTAGATGAAATATGTTCTAATGAAATAAAGCTCCACATATCTCTTTTTTTTCTTTCATTTTTAATTATTAATTTTAAGAAACAAATAAACAGGTATGTTCATCAGATGCAGTGTTTAAGAAAATGATAAAAGAATTCATTTACTGTAAAAGTGAATTGAACTTTTGGACTTGCAATCATAACAGATGAAGATGAAAATGAAGAGAAAACGAATCTATATGATCGATGTATACAAATACAAAATTACCATCGTGTATCAAATTCTGAATACATTGCAATTTGTAAATTACTATCAACTTACCAGTGATTATATGCTGATATATGATAATACATGTGTTCTGCCACAATAAAGCAGTTTTGTAAACTAAACATAGTCCATGTTTCTTATTAATTAATAGTTAATCTCCTCTATTAGAGTTTCTTTAAAAAAAATAACATGTTATCTTACCTTGAACATCTACGTAAATAAGTAGATTTTTCTTTACTGCAATTTATTTGTGATGTTTACGAGTAAATAAATCTATTGTTTATCATTTCTCTAATTCATACATAATGCTTTCTAATAATGCTTAGTATAATCCTGAAAAATGTTGGAGTGAAAACACGAGCATTAACGCCATCTTTAGTGTACTTGAAGATCTAATTACTTGTAATACATTCATGCTAACTTCTAAAAAATTAATAATAGATATTTTTCATGTTCAATTCATTAAAATAATATTATATTTTCGAAGTTTAATTGATAAATATAGTCTATTGTAGTTATCTAAAAACTATAATTCAATTTATTTTATTTATCAAACAATAATGTGATCCGAAACAGGACACTCAGAGACCTCTACATTTTAAAATTGAAAGCTAATTGAATAATCGGTAAGGTAGTAAAGTAATTATTATTGTTTATTTATGACGCTTCAGAAATTATTTTATTATACATTAGAGACGTTACTATATTTGCAGAAAATTTGTAGTGAATAACACGCATCATCATTTATTCAAAAAATCATAACCTCAATTTATGCAGCAGACAACCTGTTTCACTGATATAAATAATTTAAAAAAAATTATATATAATAATAAATAGATAAATAAGTAATAGAGAAAGTAGAATAATATGTGAATTTGATCTAAAATTCAAGTTATAGTACCTACCGATCTAAATCAATTATTGATGAAGATAATAGACGGCTTGTTGGTCGATTTCCTTTCTTTTCTCATGCCGCCATAATCGTGAATGCGTAGGTTGCCAATGAATAAAATGAAAGAGTGAGAAAGGAGGAGAAAGAAGGCATAAGAGAGAGATTGTATGTAGCGTGAGTAGTGGGCCAAAAGGAACGTCTATCGTGTCAGGTCGTCGTTGTTGCGAGGTTGCATCGAATGTCCCGATCGATAAACTGTTAGCCGTAAACGACCGAATGCTCACGATCTTGCCCGATGTGCGGCGGTAGTTCTCGTCGAAGAAACAGACGAAAGCCGCTGCTTTCTTGTGGTTCCAACTTGAACGCTTTAATAAACGTATTACGCGTCCAACGGGCGCGGCTTGGCGTTTCAAACTGGGGTTTTTCGAAATAAAATCATGTCGTCTCTCGACTATTTGGATTTGTGCCGATTGTGTCTGGTTAAGGACCGAGTTTCTGTGCCGATTTTTGAAGGAGAAGGAGATGTTCGACAAATATTTCTCAAGATAGCTTCGTGTCTACCGGTCAAGGTAAGTCAACTACGCCATGAACAAGTCGTTCGCCATTTTGACGAGTTCTCATGTCGCCAGAATATATCAGCTTCATACATGCTTCATGTTTATATTGCATTCATTTTAACTAAAGTATTGTATCTTACTATATTTCCATCATCATTAAAATATATCAATGCTATACTTTTTTCCACTACGGTATCGAAAAACGTGGGGAATTTGTAAATTGCTTTGTTCATTTTATTATTCCTATTCAATAGGACGCCTAAAGCTAAAACATTATACATATTCTTTTGCCGCGCTTTTTTTTCTCATCTTCATTATTCTTTTTAATTACTTTTAGTCTAATTGACTTCAAATCAAAATATTTGCAATTTTTTTAAATTATTACTTAATAAAATATAATATTATTACAATGATTTATCGATTATTTTGTCGCTTGAATAGTAAAAAAAAATCAACAATTTAGTAATCAATTTTTTTCTTGGAAAAAATGATTCAATTTAGCATAGATTTAATACTAATAAATATGTTAAAACTGACATAATAATTTGCTTGCAACACGTGATAGTCGTCAATAAGGTAAAGACTTTAACGAACAAAGAGGTTTTTTATTTGGATTAATGACGACTTTGAGATCGATCCACTACGAATCATCATTAGGGTTAATCTTATTTTATCATTCCCATGCCATGAATAACGTCCCCGTACCTGTATAATTTTTGCAAGTTAAAAATCATCCATTCATATCTATCATAAATCATTCGAATTCAACATCAGCTTTATTTGTATTTATTCCATTATCTCGATTAATCTTTAGCGATAAAGAAAATTTAGACTGCATAAAAAGTACACAAAAGGTGAAAGTTATGAAACTTGACGTTCTGTGTTTACTTTGTAAAAAAGTTATTAAATTTGACACCTTTTATATTAGTCTATACCATGAGCTTCAATTTATTGTTACAGGTGACCAGGGAAGATAAATTGCCAAAAAAGATTTGTGATGATTGCGTGTATAAAGTTGAACTTTTTTATCAGTTTTGGAACACTACAGCCAATGCTGAAAAACAGTTATTACAATGGATTGGAGAAGTGGATATGGATGAAAAGTCAGATTACGTCACAGAAGTTCTTAATTCGGTAAGTGATTGGAAAACATTTTAAAAATTATATTGAATTAAAAATAGCTTAAGTTAATATAAATTATATAATAATTAAAAATTCTCATATAGGAACAGACAGAAAACAGATTGGAGATGATGCAGTCTGCAGAAGAACAATCAAATAATATAGAAATAAATATGATGGATGGAATGGGTTTAGGTTTACCAATTATTATGTCTACAAATGAACAAATGTCATCAAATCCCATTACTTCAAGTGCAAATGTTCAAAGTGTTCAGTCAGTTGGTTCAACTACTCAAGCCCACTCTCAGTTGGTACAGAAAGATGGTACTCATGAAGAGGAAGAAAACACTGAAGACGAGTGCGATGTTGATGATGGTACATTAAGATATCAGCTTTATTTTTATTTAATTTTTAATTAACATCATGATTTGTTTCATGTTAAAAAATTCATTAATATTATAGGAATGCATGTTAAAGATGAAAACGATAGCTCCGTTAATGACAGCAGATCAATGGAAACATCCTATGTAAGCGTACCGCTAGATTGTGATGAAGCAGGTCCTTCAGGACTTCAACAGCAGAAACTTAGTGATATGACAGATATGGAAATGGCTCAACAATCATCAGAAGGCGATATTAAAGTCGGGTAAGTTTCTCATTTTCCTTTTGAAACATGTCGAAGAGCCAAAGATGTATAAATGTTGTGGAGATCACTAACAATTTTTCAAAATATTTTTTTTCTTGCTAAAAAATTTGCACTTCAAGTTAATACATTTGATAATTCAATCATTTTTCAACAAGAAATACTCAGAAAATTAATTTTAACTTTGGAATTTCATCGAATTTAATAAAATTCATACTTCATAACTTTAGAAACATGTAAATTCAAGAAATAAGAATTAAATTCAATAAAAGGTAAGTTAATACACACCCCACAACCATCTTTGGCTCCAGATGTTAAGCAATTTGTGATACATTTTGGAAAATTAGTTTATCAAATTCATCTTTGTGTTCAAGTAATTCAAAAATGCTTCAAATTTTATTATACAAATTGCTCAACATCTTTCAATATTTTTATGTGTATTCAAAACAAAAGCATGTATCTGACAACTTTTAAATCAGATAAATTTTAACAATAATAGTTCAACAGAAAATGATCTAAGTATATACTCTCTGAATTAAAAGTTCATCAGAATAATATTTGTCTAGATAATAAACGGATAATTTTGGTGATAAAATTATCTCTTATGAATATTCGAATTTAAAATTGATAAATATTTTACTTCAAGGAAATGAAATGAACGAAATCAAAGTTATCTGTTTATATGAAATATGTTCATGTGTCGATATAATATATTCCACGCTTACGTGATGGCACTATGCCGCACTCGATCAAAGTTGATCGAATCAAATCACTGACAATCGATAGGTCGTGAATTTCATAATTCGCCTATTACTTTGACTGGCCAAGGATTCACTGACCTCTATTATTCACTTTGACAAAAAGTTCTCTACAAATATTTAGTCTTATCTCTATAAAACTTCCTAATTATTAGTGACAAGAATCGATATTATCATTGTCAATATTTTTTAAATGGCAATTGTACATTAAATATGTCTAGCAGTACTCAAGGCAATTGAAATTAAAATTAAAAGTAATCATGCTCATGACATATAAGTTGTCATAAAAAATCGAGAAAAGTGTGGTATTTCTGAGCGACGAAACATAATTCATTTGAAAAATTGTATTCCAAACCTGTTTTTCTTGACTGAATAGTGTTTGACAGAATCAAGAATCAAAAGAAAAGTTTGTAAATGAAGAATTTATTAACACAAGAAAACTTGAAGAGGAAAAACGTCAATAAAACTGGTCAAAAGGCGAGTATTTATTTTATCAAATAAAATGAGGTTTTTAATTATTTTTTGTTTATAGATTCTATCATTATTAAGCTTATTCTATTATAATATTTTTGGAAAAAATTGAACTATTGTCTTAAATGCCTTGTAATGAGGATTTTTCGAATTTTTTTTTATTGAGTAATTGCATCAAAAAATTTTTTCAATGAAAATTTCTTTTAATTTTTTATTGTAAAAAGAGTACATTTACTCAGTAAAGAGATACGTTCTTTACGGGTATATAAGAGAGAAAAAGTACAACTGAGAGGGTGCTTGGTATTTTCGTTTGGCGAACCGGTTTTGCGAACACAGCAGCACCAGAGAACCTTTGGCCATGACTGAAGCGCTTTAACAGCCGTCCTTTGCGGTCTTTCAGGATCACGTGCTGTCGCTGCCGCATTAGTTATGCCATATTTCTCTGAGTACTTCGTACTTCCTTTTCAGTTGTTTTTTTCTTTAAAAATACCCCAAGTTATTTTACTTCTTTTGTTGTGAATTTTATTACATTTTCACTTTTGTCTCTTTTATCATGGCTGATCACTAGGCCTGCAGTTTAATTTGCGCCAGTATCATGCTTTTATAAAATTCTTAGAAAATGAATAAACAAATCTCACAAGTTATTTAAAACGACTTGAGTCGTTTATTTTGATTCATGCTGATTATTAAAATTCTCATGAAAAATCATTATGTGTGAGTGTGAGTGGAATTGAAACGATTTAGAGAAGAGATTAGATGGAAGTGGGATCGAGAAGACTCTTGGGAGTTCAATTGAAGGTGAGGTATTTTATTGTTACTAAGCTTGAGCTAAAAATTAATTGTTTTAGAGCAAATACAAGACTTTTTAACTGATAGTTATTTAGAATTAAGAAAAAAGCGCGAATAATTCTGACAGTCTACGCAATGTTCAGCACCTTGCACCACTTGGTATCAGATATCACTCACAACATGTACATTTGAACTTTAATTATTATTTATCACCGCCTGTTACTCGTATTGACGTTCAAACATGGATGCAAAAATCAAACATAAGTATCAATAATCCACCTGTCTTGTATCCGGCACCTTTCTGCTGCTTAGGAATTGTGTCGATGGGTATTTGTGTCAATTACAGGGAGACTGAAACCTTTGGTGGATTATCCGGAATGCTGCGTCAAATACTATCACCTTCACCGGAGACTGGAGATAGTTCTTTTCTAAACTGCTGCAATCTTCAGCCAGGCAGCTATACCAGTTATCCAAGCATGCTGTCTTCAAGTGTCCAATATATTGCTCCAGTATCTTCTCCATATATTCATCCCTCCCATCCTTCTGCAATGACATCTCTTGAGCAAGTATCCTCTTTTGAGCATCTAGAAGTTCACACCGAGTCACATCCCTGTTTGAGCTGTGGTCTTGATTTCCGCAGTGCTCTTAAACTTAACTATCATCTACGAACACATCACCAAATTAATCCTAATGAGATTCGTCGAAGATACGATGCCAATATCAATGAGAATAACAATCAAATCAAATTTTCTTGTTCAATATGTGGAAGAGTATTTCCTAACTTGGGTTACTTACGGATGCATGAAAGCTCACATACATCGTTGAATTCACCTCAACCAATTCAAGCTAATGTGATTATAGCTAATGTACCAATGATGTCACCATCAGAATCGAATGATCAAACCTTCAACTGTGATCAATGTCAAGCAAGTTTTCGATATCGTACACTTCTTGAGCGTCACAAAAAGATACATATGACAAATCAAGATAAGCCCTACAGTTGCTCACGCTGTCCAATGCGTTTTGAAACGCGAACTTTATATAATCATCATGCGAAGACTCACAAGTCTGTCAATCACATCACACCAACTTCAGGAATAATAAATACTACCAGCAATATGAATCACCATTCCACATCAACTACCTCAACGGTGAATGCAACAATTGAAAAACCTTTTGAATCTCCAGTGTCTTATCCTTGTGATTCATGTCCGAAGCAATTTCTTACAATTGAATCTTTGACAAGTCACAAGGCAATACATAGATCTCGTCCACTGGTTTGTGATGTTTGTGGCAAAGGATTTACTCATAGAAAATATTACGTCGTTCATCAACGCATTCACACTGGAGAAAGACCTTACCTTTGTGCTATGTGCGGCAAGTCATTCACTCAAGCATCGACGCTCACCGTACATCGACGCTATCACACTGGCGAGCGACCCTACACCTGTACTCTCTGTGGAAAAGGATTCGTTACGCGTACAATAATGCTCAATCACATGAAGAAACACTGAGGAAAAAACAACCTCATTATAATGCAATTAATGTCACGTTGTCGCTGTGATATTTGTTTTTTTTTTCTTATTTTTTTATTAATATCGATTAGTTGAGTAATATTAATATTAAAATTGTTAAGTAGATTAGAAATTGGCCAGAAACTATTGTTGGAATAATTCCAAGTTAAACATTTACTGGCCGGCCAATGTTATTGTGCCTTTTCAATCGAGTTTAATACTCGAGTACCGCGGATTCGCGAATTTTTCAAAAAGAATTCAAAGTGCCTTGATAATTATAAATAGAGCCACTTGTAGAATCTTTCAAGTTGACTCTGATCTTATGCCAAGTTCACAAAAGAACTTTATATTGTAGTTGACTTTAGGTAGATATATTATAATCAAGTTGCCAAGTTGGCTAGTAGGTTCAAAACAGTGATACTATACTAGTTTAATAACCGATCGTCCGTGTAATCGTTTCTTATTGATCATTATTATATTCTATGTTATTTGATGTAAAACAACAAAAACAAATCCGTGCCCTGCATTTAACTCGGTCGTTTCTCATACCGTCTATATTAATTACTCAGCTCAATAAAAAGAATGTTCAAAATGTTTTTCTAAAGCGTTCAAACCTAATGTATATTTTCTTTCTTATTAACAAAAAAAAATCATCTTTTTATGTCATTTCTAGCTAAGAATCAAGAAATCCAAACTGGAGAGCAAATTGTTAAAAAATATGTTGCAGTAAAGTTTTTATTTCATCAGTTATATTCTTTGAAGAGAAAAGTTTTGTTTTTCTATGTTTCCCTTTTCAGTCATCATATCGATCGACAATATTGCAGACCGCAAAGTGGACTGTAATTGTTAAATTGTCCAGATCGATTATAATTCGCGTCACGGGCAGATGTTCCCGTTCGCAAGTTTCATGCGCCTGCGTTCAAGTTCTTAAGAATTGATTTATTTTCGCGGGCTTTAACAACAATAGACTGTCTCAAAAGCAAAACAAAACAGTCGATAACATTATTTATTTAATTTTATTCGTATTGTACTTTATTTCATTTCATTATTTATACAGGATATTCTTGATTTTAGCATGCAGTGAAAACTATTTTAGAATTTTCCAGCCAACAAGTTAAGCTATAAAAATGTTTATCAAGTAGCATCGTTTCTTATTCTATATCTTCTTATTAAAAATGGTTTGAACAGCACTCTTACAACAGTAAATAAGTATTAAAAAAAATTAGTAAAATTAAATGTACTATAAATTTGTTGATTGATTCCATTGTGTCTCTTATTTACAGATATTTTGTTTCAAAACTCGCGATGCTGTCGCAGGGCCCGTGCAACGTGGGTGAAATGAAGGTTTTACTTGATGGCACGACAGAATTGGTGATAACAGAACAAGCACTAGATATGGCCCAGGCAATTGTTACATGTGCTCTATGTGGAGACGGATTCGTCAGCGAGGAAGATCTTGCAGCACACTTGAAAACTCATGATCATATTCGGCCACGTGCTCAGTCCGAGTTGCAGCAACAACAACAGCAGCAACCACCAGCAATTGAAGAAATAAAGAAAGATGAAGTTGATGAAGAAGAGGAGGAAGACGACGATATAGTAGCAGAAAGCGAAGAGATAATGGTAGAGACAGCTGAAATGGATGATGAGAAGGTAATTTATGTTTGTGAACACTGTGGACGAAATTTCTCAACTACTGCACTCTTAAGAAAACATCAACAACAGGTTCATAATATTTCTGACAAGTTGTATACCTGTGAGCTGTGTGGATACTCATCTCCTCATCGACAGAATCTTGTCAGTCATCAGAGACGTCACAATCTTGAATATAAATATCATTGTGAAGTGTGTGGTGCTGGATTCTACGCACGAAATATTTATCAGGAACATCAGCTGGTTCATTCAAGAGAGAAACCTTTCCAATGTGAAGTATGTAATGCTACGTTCCGTTATCGTCAAGGGCTCAGACTACATGCGAAGCTTCATCAACCAGATTACATACCACCTCAAAAGAAGCATCTCTGTGAGTTGTGCAACAAGCGATTCTCACGCAAACAGGTGTTACTTGTTCATATGCGTACACATGGTAATGGTGGTCCACAAAATGAGTATGTTTGTCACATTTGTGGCAAAGCTGTTTCTAGTAAGACCTACTTGACAGTTCATGTACGAAAGCACACAGGAGAAAAGCCCCACGTTTGTGATCTCTGTGGAAAAGGTTTTATTTCTCAAAATTATCTCAGTGTTCATAGACGTACACATACTGGGGAGCGTCCACACAAATGTACACACTGTGAAAAGAGGTTTACACAACGAACAACTTTAGTCGTTCATCTTCGTGGCCACACTGGTGATCGTCCATATCCGTGCACGTTTTGTAACAAATCATTTGCATCAAAGACTATGCTCAACAGCCATTTGAAGACTCATGCTAAGCAAAGCGCCAGGGCACAGATGGAACAACAAGATGTAGCAATTATTCCAGAACATATTGATGAAGAACATTTACAGAATGAACAATATGAACAATATGAGGATTATTCTGCCCAAGAGCATGTGCAGGTAGAAGAGCTACAGCAAGATGATTTAAGTCAAGAAGAGTTGTATGATCGATCTCGAATTCGAATTATAGATAATGTTTCAGTTTTATTGCCTGGTTAAAACAAAATATGATTTAAATTAATAGTTTTATATTAAATGTCAGTAGCCAATATTTTTCACTTGGGAGAATTCAATGAGTCAAAATCATTATTTTATTATTATTGTATGTAAATATTTGTTAGTTTATATTAACGCACGATAAAGTCTAAAGGACCAACAAAGCACAAATAATCGCAGAAGTTCATACATATGTTCAGTAACTTTTGTTTCTTCCTGTATTTAAAGATTTTATACGGTTTTTATGCGCGTCTTATTTATTCAACTATCATGCGTATCGTATCAATGCTGTTAATCGCGAATCCATTCAACCCGTCCATCAATCAGTAAATAACCACATTTTTATTATTTGCATTATCTGACATTCTATTGATTTACCAGGTTTCAGCTACCATAGTTCATAGCTAAGTACCCAGTATTTTCATCAATTTAGGTAGCATAAATAAAATCAATATAGATGTAAATAAATTTACATCTTGCTAAAAAAGAGTTATTTGAAATATTAAGTGTAAATACAACTAATCAACGAGTGTAACAATAAATATCTATGTTTGAATTGGACTTCGATGAAGCAAAACAAAGAATTCGTGCCTTAGTGAAAATACTTATAATAAGAAAAAATTTGAAAATAAGATGAAAAGTAAATTCTCTCGACATTGATCATATTGATCGATCCGTGCAGCATTTTTGTAATTAATTTTATCAATTACTCTATTAAATATCAAAAATGAGAATAATAAATAATTCTTTAATGGTATTTTACATTCCTTAGAATTTCTGTTATTTTGTATGGTCGGTTATTGAAACGTATGAGTGCAATCGTTAAAATAACAGATCCAGATGAATCCAATAAAAGAAGTTGCACGGATGTATGGTCGTTTCTATAAATAATATAAATATATATAAAAATGAATAAATAAATATGTTTAATAAATGTTGACTGGTGAGTTATTGGTGAAAGTGATTAATTAATTTTATGTAAATAACAATATGAAAAAATTTATGGTAATGAAGGATTATTTTATTTTTTAAAAGCAATTGTTGCCTTTATTATTATAAATATAAATAATATGATCTTATATCGAATTTTATTCAATAAAGGAAGGGAAAATTTTTAAAACATCAATATTGATGAGTAGCCTAAATGAGATTATTTTTGTTATCTTAACATTGTGATTAATTTTTTCCACCGTCAACAACTATTTTAAATTTATTTTGAAAGAAATTGACTTTCGAAGGTGTCTATTTTTCTCCAATGATTATTTCGTATTATGTATAAGGATATAAATAAAAGTACATTATATACTTTTCACAAGTTGCTGATTTTCTTTTATAAATCCTTCAATTATCGTTATTATTTGCTTATGTATCAAAGCAAATTTTTTAAAAATTTCCTTTAATTTTAAACGTGGAATGACAATCAAACTCTTGTTAAATTTAGAAGCAATTAAAAATAGTGTTTATTCAGTAATCTTAATGAAATAAATCTTTAAAAAGCTAAAAAAAGGTACTTAGATTTATAAGATTTGCATGCAAAAGAAAAAGATATTGTAGTGCACGTGGAATCATGAAAAATTAAAGTCGTTATTGAGATAATGATACATAATACAAAATCAATAATATAAACTTTTATTAAATATGTGGACAAAGTTATTTTGAAAGCAGATTTAAAAAGTCATATAAGCAAACATTTTAAAAATCTTCTGAATGTGACATTTATAGTAGACCCTTTGGTCATCTTATTCATTTCGTGAGCCACATGAGCACTCCTACAGATAAGTACAAAAGAAAAATTCGATTATTATGTTTGTGGTTTTCTAATATTATACGAATATAACTTTAAAGAGCACATGCAGACTCATGCAATTTCAACCTAGCAGCTTTGCCAATATTGTGGCAAACTTCTTCGCAAAGATGACACAAAAGCTCTTGAATGACTTCATACATGTAGAACCAGAAATACAGAAATTTTATGGTAAGACTTGACAGGTAGAAAAATTTAACGAGACTTATTGAAATTTATGTTAAGAAATCTTTTTTTATATCATGTTGATAACAAAACATTACATAATGTCTACAACATAAAGAACAGTTTTTCTTTTTAAAAATGAGGGAAACTATCATCATTTTCAGGTTTATCATGATAAGTCTGTCATTTATCATTTTTGTCTGCCAAATTTTATTTAATCAATTTGTTACTTTAATCAAGTATTAAAGTTGAGTTTTACTATTAATCGATTTAGTTATTTAATGTAATTATAATAATTGAAAAAAAAAATCTATGAAAACAGGGTATTTTTTTAGAGAATTGAATGAAATTAAAATGTTTCACGATGATAATCAGATTACTATTGCTCTGCAGCTTTTCATAATTCTTTTGTGATAATTATGATCAAAATGAAGGTTCATTTATATAGGAAAATCATCTCTAGGGAAATTCAATCAAATCCTATTTTCCATGGTTATTTCACTCTAGTAATTTTTCATGCTCCACTTGTTCTCTAAGCGGAGACTTTAAAATTGAATATGAATTCATCAAAATGAAGTTAACGGTAAACATATTACCTTCAATTAGGTTTTTATTGAATTGATTATTGCCATAAAGGTACTCAGAGCTGTGTGCATTGACAAATTTTGTCATTTTCAGGTGCGTCGAGCGGTTGTATGATGAATCATTGAAAGCAGAAGACATTGATGAGGCAGAATGCGAAACGGAATACACAGAGATAGATTATGTAGAGGATGAAAAAGAGTTAGAACAGTATAAAATCATTGAAAATTATTCTTGTTCAACAGAAGAAGTATCACTAGTATTAAAGGATTCAAACGATCATTCATCTAGTAAAAATGAATTGAATAAACGTCGAAAGCAGTACAAATGTGATAAATGTTATAAAGTAATGAAAAAGAAAACGCAATATTTAAAACACATTCAAATGCATGAAAGAAAAACTGATGGAACTTGTTCTCATTGTGGGCTAGTTTTTTCTAATGATAAAAAACTTGAGAAACATATAATAAAAGTACATCAAGAGGATAAACCATTTCCTTGTATTCTCTGTGGCAAAGCATTCAAGACTGAAGAATTTTTGAAAATTCATTTAAAGCAACACAACAAACGTTTTATCTGTGACATATGTGGCATTTCCAAAGTATCTGGTTACGATTTGAGATTGCATAAGAAAAAGCACAATCAAGAATATGTAACATATTGTGAAATTTGTAACAAAGGTTTTTATACCAATCAAACTCTTGAAAGACATATTCTTACTCATACTCGTGAGAAGCCATTTGTTTGTAAAATTTGTAATACTTCATACGCTAGTGCAGCATATTTAAATATGCATATGAAGTCTCATGGTCAAAGAGAGAAACATAAATGTAATATCTGTAACTTTGAGAGTTACTGGAAAGCTGCATTAAAGGTTCATCTTCAAATTCATACTGGAGAAAACCAAATTGCCTGTGAAATCTGTGGTAAATCAGTGTCTAGTAAAACTTATCTTCAAATTCACATGCGAATACACTCTGGAGAGAAGCCACATGTCTGTGAAGTGTGTGGAAAAGCTTTTAGCGTTAAAAAATATTTAATTGTACACTTGAGGACGCATACTGGAGAAAGACCGTATGAATGTAAAATATGTTTAAAAAAATTCACTCAGCAAGGATCTCTTAATGCTCATGTAAAATCTCACAATATAAACAAATAAATCATTTTATCATTTAATAAAATCATTATTTTTAACATTTATTACATTATATTTGTTAATATCAGTACAATTATTTCAAAACTGCCTTATCAAATGGTTTTATGAAAATAACATTTCTTGACTTATTCATTATTAATAAAACTATTTTATTTAATTCACTTATATAAATTCATTTTTAAGAATAAAGGAAATTGACAGATCGAGAAGATAACTAAAATTTTACAGTGCTTGAAGCAAGTTTTTAAGGTTTAAGGTACGTATGAGGCATGATTGATTCAATATCCTTCAATCAGCCAAGAGCAATTTGAAAAAAATATTTTCCAGCGATGTGTTTTATTTTTTTTTTTATCATTATTTTTATGATTAATTTTTCACCCTTTAATCTAAATACATAATTTTACTGCTTGAAAATATTTTATCTAATCTTCTTTATTTGAATTAATCCATTGAATTAACTTTAAGTGATAATAAACCAAGACAAGTTAGTTATAAAATATATTTCCAAAGAATAAAGATCATTTTTATTTCCAGGTTGCTGAAAACTCAAAATGTCGCACTGAGTTTATCCACTATCGACGATCAAAAATCACCAAAAGTTCATTATCAATGTGAGATATGTAAAAAACAATTCAAATTAAAAAATTTATTTGAGGGTCATCTGGTCGCTCACAGTGATGTTCGTCCCTATCAATGTGATATTTGTAATAAATCTTTCAAACGAACCAGTACCTTGGCAGTCCATCGAAGAATTCATACCCTGGAGAAAAATTTCATTTGTGATGTGTGTGGTCGCGCTTTTGTGCAAGCATCACAATTGGCAATGCATCAACGACGTCATTTTGAAAAATACATTTGTAAATGCGAAATATGTGGTAAAGGTTTCTTTACCAATGCAGAATTACATGGACACATGAATATTAAACATGGAGCAAAGGAACACGTGTGCCATTTTTGTAGCAAATCATTCCCAAATAATCATACTTTGGCACGTCATACCAAAATTCATGATCCAAACTTCAAACCAATCAAACACCAGTGTGAATTTTGTGGAAAAATATTTTCATATAAAAATTCACTAGTAGTTCATGTAAAGTCTCATACAGGAGAAAATAAATATGATTGTCATTTGTGTGGAAAATCAGTATCTTCCAAAGGATCTCTGCAAGATCATTTAAGACTTCATAGTGGTGAGAAATCATGGATTTGCGATGTATGTGGCAAAGCATTCTATAAACGAACTACTTTAGCAGTCCATAAAAGAACCCACACTGGTGAGAAGCCTTACAACTGTGATACTTGTGGAAAATCATTTACACAACATTCAACATTGGTTATTCATAAACGCTACCATACAGGTCAACGGCCATATCAGTGTACTCTGTGCCCCAAGTCCTTTGTGTCTCGAGCCCTTCTCAATACTCACAGTAAAATCCATGCACCTGTTTAAAATAAAATACTACTAATTATTCAAGTTTGATCATTACTTCAGTGCTTTAACAGTGCCTTGAACAGATAAAACAAATTATAGTGGTAAAAGTTTGAATGTAATTATGTTAAAACGTTATGAAATTATTTTTTATAATTATATAGAATAGCATTAGACAATCTAAGTTGTATTACAAGTAATATGGAATTTATTATTAAATGACCGAACAAATATTTCGTGATAAATAGAAGAAATAAGTATTACGAGAGTTGAGACTTGTAATTGAACATGTTAAATCATGTAAGATCAATAAAACTAATTCAAAGAATTTTAAGGATAATTTTCTTCTGTATTTATATACGTTTATGGATCTCGACTAATGAAAATTACCTCTTTTATTAGATATATTGGTAAATTTTCTCCACAGGCGATGTAATATTCTACAAATGATGTTTTGAAGATGGTTAAAGCAAACAAACAGATAAATAAGTATATGATGAGAAAAAAATATTGAATTATCATCACAGTATGAAGATCGCTGACTTATGGATTGAATTTTACTTTCAGATTCAACCAAGTTTCGTGTTCCGATGAAGCAAATTCTACAACGGAAGAACTGGCGAAGAAAAAGACTACAGATAAATCGAAATCGAATTCAAAAAACAAAGATGTATCAATGCAGAAGGAAGCAAACTTTCCAGAGAAAGTTATAATTAAAAAAATCTCAGGAGGTAAAGTGAAAGAGGAAGATTTACCATTGGAATTTTGCTGTAAAGTTTGTAAGAGGCTTTTCACTTCACAAGAGCAGTTGGACAATCATGAAGTTGAACATAAGGGTAAGCGAAAAAATACATGTGAACATTGTGGTCGATTTTTTCGAGCGTACATCAACTTACGCAAGCACATGAAAAAACATTTGGGCAAAAAAACTAAAACTGATGCTAATTCATCCGTAGATCAATCAGAGGTGAAAGAGGATAAAGAGAAAACAGGGAGAGAGTTGGTTTGTACAACATGTAACAAAGTTTTTCGTCACAAAAGCAACTATCAGAAACACCTGATGCGGCATACCGTTGGAGACCTTACCTGCAAACACTGTTCAAAAAAATTCCGTCTCTTTCGTGACCTCACTAGACACGAAAAAACTCACTTTATGCCAAGCTACATGTGCAAAGAATGTGACTATGAAACCACCGTGCTGGCTGCTTTAAGTGTCCACATGTTAAAACATTCAGACAATGCAGGTCTTCCCTACAAATGTCATGAGTGTGATAAAAACTTTCGAAAAGTGACTGATCTCCAAGAACATTATAATATTCACTCTGGTGATAAACCATTTGTCTGTGAACTTTGTGATGATGCATTTTTTTTAAGAAGACAGCTTTCAGCTCATTGCAGACGATTGCATCCGGAAATGAAAGCTAATAAAGTGACAAGTACAACGTGTGATATTTGTGGTCGAGTTTTGGCGACTAAACGATCGTTATTTCGTCACAAGGAAAGCCACAATCCAACTAAACTATATCTATGTGACTTTTGCGGTAAAAGTTTGAGTAGTGCAGAACATTTGAAGAAACATAGACGCATACACACCGGCGAAAAACCTTATGTTTGTGATATATGTGGTAAAGGTTTCACGGATTCTGAAAACTTGCGGATGCATAGGAGAGTTCACACTGGAGAAAAGCCATACAAATGTGATCAGTGTCCAAAAGCATTTTCTCAGCGATCAACTCTAACAATTCATCGACGTGGACATACTGGAGAACGGCCGTATGTTTGTCAAATTTGTCATCGAGGATTTTCATGTCAGGGTAATCTTACAGCTCATCAGAAATCAACCTGTGTTTAAAGAACATTTTTACCTAGATAAACTTAAAAATGACAAATTGTTAATTTTATAATACATTTTTTAGTTTATTTTTCACGTATTATTATTTTAGCTCAAATTCAATAAATATAAGTAAAGTGAAAATATATTAATAATAATATGGGGTAAATTTGTGAAAAGTATCATTTATTGAAATGACATTAACGTTAATTGATAATCGTTGACGATAAAATAATAACATGGTTAAAATTGATATGTATTAATCCGCTGATTAAGTAAATAAATAGATTTTATATATTTCATGATTTAGTCTTTTGATGAAATAATTTAAATCTTATCAATATTAATTTTTGTTTTTCTAATTTAAACTTCATAATTTTCTATCATATTATCTATTTAAAGTCTACTTAGCATTTAAATGGAATTTTAAAGTGTTATTTTTATTGATTGATATAAACAAGGTAAGTTTAACTTATTTTATAAGAAAAAAGTCAACTTAATTATATTAATAATTTATTTATGTTTCAGAAGTTTTATTATTCGATTAAATTATTTGAGAAAGACCTTTCACAACTTTTCAACGACAAGGCCTACTGAAAGCAATGATGGATCATCATATTTCTTGTTTAATACAGTTTTGAATATTATGTCTGACATTTTATGACTTCTTGCGGCTTTTAAATTTACATCTTATAATCGTAAAAATGATATTTAAGGATTCTATGATTTTTTTTTTATACACTTCTGAAGTTTTCAAAGCTTTTGTCTTTGTTCAGATATTTTTTCATGTGTATATCCGATGCATGTATCTAGAACTGTATTTTGAAAGTAACTATACAAATTTATTAGTCGACGAATCCGTAGGAATGTTCGATTTTTCTTACTGATAACGTTGTAATTTTTTTTAGGTCTAATCTAGACTGTCTTGGTTCATCTCTCTACAAAAAATCGCTAGAATGCTCTATCAAAAAGTTCAAAAACACTTATAAACCATCAAAAAATGACGTTGAAAAACATTCAAGTGTGGAAAAAAAGAAAAAATTAACTTCAAGATTAATTGAAAGAAACAAACTGGATAAAGAAAAAGATGTACATAAATGTGAAATTTGTGGAATGAATTTCGACCGAAAAAGCAAACTAATAAGTCACATGTTTAAGCACAGCAATTTAAAACCCTATAAATGTAATATATGTTTAAAAGTATTTAAAACGAATACATATTTATCGAAGCATATGGAAATTCACGATGAATCAAGCCAATATTACTCTTGTAGTGTTTGTGACTTTCAAGCACGATCTAAGTCTTATCTAAAAGTCCATTATATTAGAAAACACACGCAAGAGTATAAATTTAACTGTGTGCAGTGTGGAAAAATGTTCAAAGTCCAGTCAGACTACACAACTCACATGAAAGATCATGATATGGAGTCTTGCGTGTGTGATATTTGTGGTGGCTCTTATTCTAACAAAAGTTCTCTCTATTTTCACAAACACTATAAGCATGTATCAACGATAAAAGAATTTGAGTGCTCAACTTGCAAGAAGCGATTTAAAAATCAAAAAAATTTAAATAGTCACATAGAACTTCATAATATGAAGTATGTCTGCGAGCAATGTGGAATGGAATTCAGCTTTAAATATGGACTGACAAAGCATTTGAGAACACACTCGGGTGAGAAATTATATTTGTGTGCAATTTGTGGGAAAACATTCAGCTGTTTGAGCTCCCAAAAGATCCATCTACTTAAACATGCTGGAGAAAGGCCATACGTCTGTGATATTTGTGGTCAGAGCTTCACCCAACGTTCCCCTATGATGTTACATCGAAAAAAACATCCAGGAGTTCATCCACCACCTCCACCCATTAAAATTACTAGTCTTCTACACGGAGTGCAAGAGAAAATTACAACAAGCAAAAAAACAAAGGAATAAATCCAACGGTTTTTTGAAACTAAGTATTATTACTCAAGACTGTCATTGTTTGTATTTGATATTTTTTTCTTTCAGTTCAATACACTTTTGAAAGCTGTGATATTAGAAAATAATCATAAATCAATTATTTATTATTTCAATTATAATGTAATAAAAATGAAATAAAAAATAATATTAACGACATGGTCTACTAGTTCATTAGATTTGTTAGCATAGAAGTGATGTTAGTGATGTGATAGCTGAAATAATTATGTGTTCAAAATATATATATAATTCTGGAGTAAGTAATCTTCTTCCATGACTTAATCAGTTTAAGTCAGTAATAATTATCATCTTTCTGTTCTAGGAACATAAATCATTCTTCGAAAGAAGTTGATTGCTGGATTGAATCAAGTGAGATAAAAAAGACCTTTGAGACGAAAAAAATTTGTAAATGTGACACATGTGGCTATAAATGTCGGAAAGAAAGTACTTTGAACTCCCATAAGCGAAGCCATCAGTTGAAAGAATATCAAAAAGAACTCTTTGTATGTAATGAGTGCAATTTCAAGTTCAATAAAAAAACGTCTCTTTACTCTCACATTCGGAAAAAGCACAAATTCCTACAAGAAAATCTACTAATGTACACCTGCAGTCAGTGTGGCTATAAAAATAAAAATAAATATGATTTAAGGGTTCACATAATGAGAAAACATACAGAGGACTATAATTATTCATGTGATACCTGTAATAAAAAATTTAAAATTAAATCAGATTTAACAAATCATATTAGATTTAGTCATCGAGAGCATCCACTCTTGTGTGATGTTTGTGGGAAAACATGTCTCAACAGTAATTCCCTTTATGTCCATCAGAAATTCGCTCACTACAAAGCCAAGTTTGAGTGTAAAATTTGCAAGAGACGTATGGTAAGTCAAGAAAATCTGAATGAGCACATGTTACGTCAGCATGAGAAACGACAAAATTTCATATGTGACGAATGTGGCAAAACATTTTCTCGGAATAACAGGCTGACGATGCATATGAGAATTCATACTGGTGATAAACCTTATACGTGTACAATTTGCAATAAGTCTTTTGCAAGAAACGCTAGCTTGAAGCAGCATCTTCTGATTCATACTGGAATCAGGCCATATGTCTGTGATATATGTGGAAAAGCTTTCGCTCAAAAGCCCGGATTAATCACTCATCGAAAGTGCCATCCTGGGAATCATCCACCACTGCCTCGGGTTATCATCGATCCAATACTGAACGATGTTATGAATAATTAAATAAAATTTATCACAAGGTATCTTTGTGAAGAAAAACAAAAACATATAATAGGAGAGAGAACAATGATTTAATAAAGAAATTATTCTATTTAAAAGTTTTCGTAAAATATATTTTTTTAATTCATTTTATTTGCCTAACAATCAATTAATAATGAAAGTTTACTAAAAATTTTATTTTTATAAATTAAGAATATCGAAAAGAGAAAGAAATTCTATAATCATATTATCCATTCATTTCTTGCTTTCATCAAAAGCATTACATGAATTTTTGGAGTTATTATGAAGAATAAGCTTTTTCTTTTAAAAATATGTATTATAATATTGGATAATAAAGTTCTATCATATGTCTCATAAAAAATTAATTTAAAAATTTCAAGAAAAACGTCATCATGTCGGAATGTGAGTAATTTTTAAATAAATAAATTAAAACAATTCATAATTCTAAATAATATTTTATGTAATTTTTTGTTTGTTTTAGGAGATTGCCGTTATTATATATAAAAGTGAAACCCAGATTGATAAAACCACCTAAAGATTTATCATCAAGAATTTTACTTATTCGTCAAAAATATCTTATGAAAAGTAAAAACTATCAGACGAGAAATATTTTAAAATTGCCGTCTTCAAAATCTCCAGTTATTATTAAAAATCCAAAACTAAATAACCTGTCAACACTTTCAAAAGACACTTCAGTATCATTAGCAAATAATAAAACACATAAGAAGATTCCTTTTTTAAAAACTTATTATGAAGAATATTTTTGTGATTTGTGTAATTATAAAAACAAGAGAAAAGCAGCTCTGGCAGTGCATGTAGCAAGAAAACATATTCATAATGCAGAAAAAAAGGAAGTTGAACATATATGTAGATTATGTGATATTACTTTTCGATGTAAGCCATCATTACAAACACATTGGATTCGTAAGCATACAGAAAAATTCAATTTTTTCTGTCCAAAGTGTGGAAAAAAGTTTAAAATCAAAGGAGAATTAACGACTCATTTGAGAAGAATGCATTCAGATGTTTCCTGGAAATGTGAAGTGTGTGGCAACTTTTATCGAAGCCAGCATGCTCTTTACACTCATCAAAAAGCTTATCACTTTAAACCTGATTTTCAATGTCCTTATTGTCCCAAGTGTTTGGTTACTCAGGAAAACCTAAATCAGCATATTCGATTAAGACATGAGAAAAAAGATAGAGCAATGTGTGAAGAATGTGGAAAAACATTTAATGAAATGTGGGACCTTCGAAAACATCAGAGAGTTCATACGGGTGAAAAACCATTTCCGTGTTCAGTTTGTAATCGAAGATTTTCTCGTCTCGCTATCCTCAATCAACATCTCCTTATTCATACAGGTGTGAGGGTATATTCGTGTGATGTATGCAACAGGTCATTTACACAGAAATCAGGACTTATCAGTCACAGGAAGAAACATAGTGGCAATTTACCACCCTTGCCTGTAGTTTATGTTCAAGATATCATTAAACCGTTTAAGGAATCTCAAACTGTGCTTTAAACTTGATTTAGCTTTACTTTCATTGTTGAATACTAAAAAATAACATTTTTCATATTTGTTTTAAAGAAAATTGTTTTGAATAATTTTATATATTATATAATAAAGATTGTTATTTAATGTCATTTCAGTATCACTAATCATTTGTTTTATGTTGTAGCATAGACTACTATCCTGAGTCGACGAAAAGTATGATCTCAGTTTGTATAAATAAAGTTGTGATATTTAGAACAAAAAACGAATAAAGAAAATAATGATATGATCCAATAATGATTTTATCTTTATACAAGTTTAAAATTATTAAAAATTGTTAATAAAAGAAAAATAATACTAAAAACGGTGGAAATTTATTTTCGATAACATTTCTATGATTATTTAATATGTTACTAAAAAAAACTAATTAATACAAATTGAACATTTCTTTTTTTTTTGTTTTTGGTGATTTTATTTCAGCTGTTTAGTATTACAAAAGGAAGTAAACTATTTAATAATAATATTAATAATAAAAAACATGCACAATTTTATGTCTTATAATGTATTTTTTCCAGGATTATTTTTGACTAACAAATTGATCCGCTGATGTTTCAGATGCGTCAAGAATACCAAAGAGGAGACTGCTCATTCACGAGGATTATTTTTGTTCGAGCGAGAATCAGTGGTGATGAGGAAGTGGCAAATTCTGGAGTTCGATGGAAAACCATATTACGCTTTTGTACCTGAAAATGAGGAGCCTATTGATACGACTAGTATTCCTAATATTGAAGAAGAAGAAGAAGAAGAAGAAGAGCAGGACGAAGTAATTGAAGAAGTGTTAGAGGTAGAGGAGGAAGATGTCGGGGAAAGAGAAGAAGACAGTTTTCACTCTCAATTGGAAAAAATTGTCGCATGCAAAGTAGAACGAACTTCAAATACAGAGCCAGAGGATGAATCAATGGGTAATGATGCTAGTTTTTATGATTATCAGTACGATGATAGTTGTGAAATGAATGAAGAACACACAGAGGCTACTGAAATAAAGCCGATTTTAATAAATGGTGTCACAAGTGAATCTAAAGACTCTCGAGGTGATTTGTATCAAGTTAAAGTTGAAGGAAGTTTAGTAACTATAGAGAAACTTGCTGAAAATGTCGTGAATGTAAAGACAGATGACAACGGCGATGCGATTTCTGAAGATGAAGAAGAGGAAGAAGTTTTAGTTAATAATCCTATTGGAGAAGATGAACAAGCTCAAGAAGTGCCACAATTTATTGAAGCAGATAGTATGGATTCACAAGCAATAGAATACATCACTGAAAATGAGGAGGATGTTGATGATGTTGAAACAATAGAAGAAATAGTACCTGACCCTGAACCTATCTCTCCACCAAAAACCCAAAGATCAACTAAATACCGAAGTATTCTTCCGAAAACAACTGCAGCTCTAAAGTGTAGAGTTTGTTCAGAAATTTTCAGTACTAAAATTGCTTTCCGGAAGCACGTAGCTTGGACACATAAGAAAAAAGTCTGTATCCAAGAAGACGGTGTTTATATATGTGCGGTGTGTGATTATAGAACCTTGAAAAAGAGTCTTTTTGCAGCACATTTGGAAAGGAAGCATGAAACTTGGCCAAGAAAAGGTCAAAATAATCTTGTATTCCCTTGTGCTGTTTGTGGTTTTGTTTGTCGATCAAAACACTCACTGCAATCACATTTCATCAGAAAGCATACAGACAATTACGAACACCAGTGTAAATTTTGTCCAAAAAAATTCAAAGTCAAAGGAGACTTAACTAATCATGTAAGATTTCATCATAAAGAGAAACCTATTAATTGTGATGTTTGTGGTAAACTTTGTCAAAATTCAGGATCTCTTTATGTCCATCAAAAGTGGGCACATTATAAACCAAAGTTTGAATGCACTATTTGCAAACGTCGAATGGTCACTCAGGAAAATCTTGATCAACATATGGTGACACAGCACGAGAAGCGAGAAAAAATAGTCTGCGCGGAATGTGGAAAAACATTCACAAAGAAAGATTCATTTAAACGTCACATGGCTGTTCACACAGGAAGTAAGCCACATCATTGTCCCATTTGCAATAAACCTTTTGCCAGACAATCACAGCTTCGACAACACGTCCTTATCCATACGGGAAAAAGGCCATTTGTATGTGACATATGTGGTAAAGCATTTACACAAAAACCTGGTCTAATTTGTCACAGAAAAACTCATCCAGGACCTCATCCTCCTCTACCTGTCATGCCTATAGCTGATCTTGTTAAAGAATTTACTGCAGAGTATCTTCAAGAGAATGGACAAATAAATGAGGAAATAGACATGAAAAGTGAATAAACTAAAATTAAATTTCATCTCAACAATTAGAACTTATTTTATTCAGTTATCTGTCCAATCAGATCACGATTCTGATTTTAGATATAACTGATTTGTTAATGTTAATTCATATTATTAAGACGACTTAGGTATATTTATAACGGATATTTTTTTAAGATAAAACATAGATAATAAATGATCAATAAATTTATTAATAAGTCTGAATAATGTATAGTTGAAATTAAAATAAAAATTTCACACGCTCTATATTAGTGTAATTTATATTGAAAATTATCAGTTAAGTGGTTTTAAGAAGATAAATATTCTTTAAAATAGTTTGTTTTATTTTTAACGTATTTATATTGTTCACGTAAGTATGAAGGACTTGTACGTCCTTGACTTAATAGATGTGATTGTAATAAAAGTTATTCTTTTACTTGTTTTAGGAACCACAGCAAGATTATAAATGCAACTAAAGTACAAATAACGAAACCAGTCTCTGATACAGTAACTAAATTGGTACAAGGAAGTGTGTCAAATGATTCTGTTGAAGACTGTATTATTAAACATTCGTGTAAAAATTGTGGAACTTGTTATGAAGGTTACTCTGAAGACCAAGCACAGAAATTTTTAGATACTCACTCCAAAAAACACCTAAATAAATGCCCACAATGTTCTAAGACATTTATTGAAGTCAGTAAACTTTTAAATCATATTAGAATTTACCATAAACAATATAATTGCGATCATTGTCGCTTTATTACATTAATTAAGTCTGAAATGATTGAACATTTAGCTTTAAAGCATACTGAAAAAAAGAGATTTATGTGCAAGGGTTGTTATAAACAACATCAAAATCTTAGTGAACTTAAGAGACATGTCTGTACAAATGATCAAACTGGACTTTGTCAATATTGTGGATACAAAAGCAAAAATTTAAATTCTCTACGTTGGCATGTACGAACATATCATACGGAACGTAACTTTGTGTGTTCAATTTGCAATAAAAGTATGGCAACCCAAGTTGGCTTAACTCTGCACATGCATCATCATGAAAATCCGCGGCCAAAAATCAGCGGATATATATGCGATGTTTGTGGAAAAGATTTCAAAGAGAAAAGTACTCTTAAAATGCATATGGTTACTCATACTGGTGAAAAACCTTTAAAGTGTTCAGTATGCGGTACTAGATTTGCTAAACGGGAGACATTGCGGCAACATCTCTTAACTCATACAGGAAAGAGACCATATAGTTGTGATATTTGTGGTAAAAGGTTTGTTCAAAAACCAGCTCTGACGTGCCATCGAAAATCTCATCCAGGAGATCATCCACCTTTACCAAAAGTTTACATAGATTCTTACATTAAAGAAGTCGATCCATCTATGGTTCACGATTTTACTGTACCTGTGCCTGAGCTTAAAATTGAGTCAAAAACTTTTCTAGACTTTAGTTCTAAGTGAAGTATTTAATTTTAAACCCAAGTGCCAATCAATTATTTAAATCAGTCATTTTTTCAAATTAAATTAATTCATGTTTGTGTTCAATATTCAGTTTTTATATTATTTACATTTTATTATATATTAGGTTTATATGTTCTAATTAATAAGAATATTGGTGTATTTTTTAAAATTAATTTCTCACTCTAAATATGTATTTCATTAAAAAATAAAAAAATGTCTGAGTTAAGTTAAGTACTTTCACATCAATAAATGTTATTATGTGACTATAATTTAAGTGAATTACTCTAAGCAAGAACTTAAAAGATCAATAACACATCAACTGAAATATTGAAACCATACAATCTGTGAACATACATAGAATGAAGTAAAAAAGTTTTTTATGTTGTTTTACTTATTTATAAGTCTAAAAAAATTAATTCAGACAAACCTTATCTTAATCTTCAGAAACTTTTAAATTTATTGCAGATGTCGACGGAGTGTGAACGGGAAAAGGCTAAAGAAGGGTCACAAGTGTATAAAGTGTAATGCTCATTTTTCTCATATGACAAAACTCGTGGTACACTTGAAGAATGAGCATAGGATTGAGAACGCTTTTAAATGCGACGAATGTGGTAAAACATTTAAAACTCCGATGAACATTAGACGACACAAGCTCATACATACTGGTAATAAACAATTTTCTTGTGATATATGCTCTTATGCGAGTAATCAAAAATCAAATGTAGATCAACATAAGAAGAGACACTTCAAAGAGTTTGGTTTCAAATGTAAGATATGTGAAAAAGGTTTCGTCGTAAAAGCAGAGTTGGCTGAGCACGAAAATATTCATGTAAACCAAAAATTTAAATGTAAAATATGTAATAAGAAGTATTCGTATAAAAGAAATTTAACAGCTCACATGAATACTTATCATCCATCAACTTTGAAGGAAAATTACCAATGTCATTTATGTCCCGAAAAATTCATCTCTTCACTTCTTCTACAAAACCATAAGAAAAAACATAAAAATAAAAGAACTTTAGAGTTCTTATGTGAATTATGTGGAACAAGAGTTTCGAGCAAAAAAGCTCTAGAAATTCATGAAAGACGGCATACAGGAGAAAAAATTGTTAGTTGTAATATTTGCAAAAAAGGATTCAGTTGTAAGGCCAATTTAAAAATTCATCAGAGGGTACATACAGGAGAGAAACCTTATACATGTAACGAATGTGGTAAAGATTTTACTCAAAGAACATCATTGATCATTCATCTACGTTATCACACTGGTGAAAGACCTTACTGGTGTACGATATGTGCTAGAGGTTTTGTTGCAAAGAATATTCTTACAAAACATCAACAAATTCATGATTAAAATTTTAGCTTTAGTGTTTTTGATACTGTATAAATGTATTAGAATAAATAAATATTAAATTTTTACCATTTGTATTTTTGAACATTATAAAATTTAATAAAGCTGATATTTTTGATAAGTAATCTGAATTGTCACAACTTATATTTCATTAATTTATATTGTTTAATTTTTAATCAGTTCTCTTGCAATTCCAGAAGTCAGAGATCAATTATTATTTTCCATTTGTTGAACATTACTTTGAAAATAGACAACTAATTCGAACTATGATTCAAGATGACATAAAATCTACTGTAAGTTTTAAGAGAACTCAGCTCTTAACTGATAAATCCGTCGAAGCAAGCTATAAAGGATTATTTATTATCGAATAGATGTTGGAGTATTTTCAGTTTATGGTACTAATTCTATAAGAAGCAGTAAAGATTTAATGAGTTTTGTAAGCAATTTGTCTAAACAAGCATTAAATATCACCCCAGGTCCATACATCTAAAGGTTGCAATTATTTAGAAAGCTTTAAAAAAGTAGAAATTTTATTATTATTATATATTATATAGCAACAACTTCCTACATCATTTTCAGGTTTAAAGTAGCAGATAAAATATAAGAAATCCGTAGTAAATAATATCTCAACCGTAATGTCTGAGAATAGCCTATGGTATATTGCACAGTATAATCCATTGAAGTGCTCATATAGCAACAATTCTTATTCCTAGCAATTCATGTTGAACGTTCACGTTAAGAAGAGTCATACACTAAGAACGATCACGTGTATGGAATGTAATTTCATCGGTGTGGCAGCTATGAACATGTGACGATATTGCAAGAAGACTCTGGAGAAGATCAAGAATCAAGAACATATGTAAGATTCGTAATGAAAGCTTTAGTGATAAGGTAATATGAATCACTTTAAATTCGCATAAACCTACGTACCTCATATATATGTTACATCAAAATTTATAAAAAGGCAATATCGTCCCAAAGATTAATTAATAAATTATATTTAATGAAGTATGATTAATTTGATGGAAAATACTTTGATGTAAATTATGTAAAGCATTATTAAAAGTTTGGACGCTTCTTCCATCAAAGGATTTGCTACCACCTTGTTTTGCCTTTTTATGGTTTTAATAACTACACAGTATTGATTATGTAGAGTTAAATTGTCGAAGGCATTCAATATTCTTAAATACGTTTGACGTACGAACTCCTAAATTTATTTATAATCAAGATCGAGATATTGGACTTTAAAGTGGACAAAGTGCCCTTGTAATTTTAGAATTTAATTTAAGCGCTTTGAGTATAAAAAAAATTTGTAAAAAGCAGAAAAAACTTTATGAAGTAAATGATTTTTAATCAAATCTTGAATTTAATAAAACTTGGATAAAAAATTTAATGAAGTTAAAAAGTCCATACATTTTTCAAATCATTTCTAGAATAATTGAAATAGTGAAATTGCTGACTTTTTTTAAAATCCATCAATACTTGAATTGGTTTTCATATAATTATTTGTATAGTTTTTTCTTTACTTTCTTTTAATCATTTTATTTTAATATTTAGAATTTAAAGTGATGTCTTTATAACTTCTTCCGAAATAATATTGGCAACAAAATGTATTATTTATGAAAATTTCGTCTATCTCAAAATCTAGAGATAAGTGTCAAATAAATATAAGCTAGCATATCTTTAAACTTCCGATACAGAGGTTGGACATAAAGCCGATGTTCTAAAGATCAACCTGGATCTTGGTACGGTAAAATTGAAAATTTTTTGCATGACCAAGTCTCAACAATATCAGACCAGAGCAATAGCATTTTTCTTTAATAAAAAGTGAAGAAAAATTTTTAAAGTGTCATACGATTGTAAAGAAGCAAAAACTAATGTATATTTATATAAAAAACGTCTTTTTATAGTAGAAGTGTATAAAAATATGTATATACTTTGTAACAAAGAACTTGAAACTACCCAGGATCTAAACATTCTCGAGTTTTTAAATTCACAATACACATTACTTAAAGGTGAAACCTTACACTTACAAATACGCGGAAAATGATTTGCCAGTGAGACTTTTTTAGGGTTTCATAATGTCACTTGATGATGGTGACAACATTTACGTAAGTTCTAAAGCAATCAATGCAACAAAACTTTTTATATACTTTTATTGAATTACACTTGTTCTTTGGAGAGATTATACAGGTGAGTGGTAAAATGGTGCACACATTTGTACTTAATTTAATTGAATCAATGCAAAAAAGATAAGATAACTGTATAGAGAATTGAACAGAATCAAAAATTAAACTAATTTACCTTTTTCAATTTAAAGCTAATGATAATCTATTGTAATTGAAAAAAAGAAATTTATAAATAAAATATTACAATAATTAAAAGACTTTTTTTTTTTGAATTGATATATTTTTTTTTCACTTTTATTATAAAATATTACAAAAATTTCATGTAGCCTGCGGCGAGTGTGATTCAAAAAAAATTGTAAGCTGATGTTGGGTCTTCAATCCGAAAGTCAATACCTTGGTCAAGCATTTTATAATGATACTGGTAATTGATATCATCCAGGATAGCTCGATTTTGTGTGTTGATATTTTTAGGTTTTATGTGAATGGTTTTGAATTTGGTTTTCCTCTCAGCTTGGAGTTGAAAGATATACCGAAGAGTTTCTAAACTTCTGATTATTCCATCATACTGAAGTTTTGTTAATCGTTTACATCGTTGAATCATAAAGACTAGTAGATCGTCAAGGAGTTCACGGTTATTTCTGATTTGCAGCATAACTTCGACTAATCATAAAGTTGAGGAGTAGTTAATGCTGAGTACATTAATACTTTAAGCGCTTGGATGTTTAATTCTTACCCAATGTGTTTGGATAATAAGTTATAAGAAGTCCGACTGTACTTCTAAAGTTTCGAGATCGATTTTGATCCCAAACGTGGCCTCCATACATATAAAAGCAAGCAAGAGGGATGCTTGGCAGAAGAAGGTAAGATATATCTTCATAATGGGAGATATTTACTAAAGAAAAGCTAGTTATTAATTTTAGTAGATCATCAATATCAAGAAAGTGTGCCAATTAGTGATGTTATTTTTGTAAGAAAAAATTTATAGCAATCTTAAATTATAAAATCTTTAATTAAAAACTTCATTGAGTTACTAATTGGAACACTTGTTAATTGATAAAAGAAAAATAAATCCTATTTATCATTTTTTGTTTAAAAAAATTACTTCTCTTTATCAATTTAAAAAGAAAGCTTAATTGAATAGATTTTTTTCAAAGCAATTCTTGGCTATTTAACCGATGAATAGCCTGATTAATTTTTTTTCTACAAAAAAAAACTGTAAAAAGCTATTAATACAATGTAGGTGTTTTCTTTTAAAGTGATGCAATTATCCATAAAATTAATAAACAAAGGGAACAAAAACCTATTGTATAGGAAACCGTGAGCTGAGGACAAGCAACGACTAGATTATTCCAAGCTGCATCTCCAACAGTGTGTTGACGAGAATGTGAATCACGGATCGAGATATGTAAATTCTTAAGTACGTTAGATGCAGCGCTAGCTAATGAATTAAGCACTTCATCAGATAATGCAGGATAGTCGAGCTGGAATGTTGTTAGCACATGAAGTCGACTAAGATACCGTATGTATCTGTGAAATTCATAATTAATTAAATTATCTCGATGGAAATACAACAAAACAATTCTAACCTGGAGTTGCTATGCGGCGCCTGCCAATCTCGAAAAGCACCTCGGATATCTAAATACTCAAGTACGTTTCCACAGGACCAAGAAATAGCTCGACATACCTTTAAAACGTCAGCAACACCCAAGTTTGCATTTAATAAACTTAACAGCTTTAATTTGCGTTGAGTTCTAAAAAAAATTCTCTCAGAAGTGAGATTAAAAATAGACGATTATTCCTTCTCAGTCATATTATGTCAATTTTAACCTCAAAAACCGCGCTAGGGCATTCACAAGCTTGCTTCGATGATTCCAGTTGGTTCCGAAATACCAGTCGGTAAGAATAAGTTTTTCCAGTTGAACATTTTTATTCTTAATAACTTCCAAAAAGTCAATGCTATCATTCGCTCGAATATTCAATGAAACTCGAGCTTCTCGCGGTAGAGTATAAGGTAGTGACCAAGCTAATTCCAAATGTCTCATATGTTGAACATACTTAGCCTACAAGGAAATTATTTTTAACTTTCGTGGTCATTGAAAAACTTTTTATTTTACTAAAAACTAACCAATAAATTTCTTGTTGATGGATAATAAATTCTCAAATCTCTATCAATAATAATTCTAATGGATTTCCAAAGTGATGGCGATGCTAAAGCATGACTCCATGCTTGACATGTTTGATCGACACTAGCACGATCTTGACAATTGAGATAATCAAAAATTAAGCTCAATATCAGCTCCGGTAGCTGATTCCACATCTCCGGGCTTTCATCATCGCTCGTCGCAGACTTTTCTAACTAACTGCCATATTGGTAGATAACTCACTTGTCAGTCAAATATCACACTTCGATTTTTTTTCTATTAAAGGTATGTATTCCAATTGTCGATCGACAACATATTCAAATTTAGAACTTTATTATATTTTATTAAATAGCTTATTTTAATAAAACGAAATTATTATTCAAGTAGATTGAAAAAAAGATGATGAGAGGGATTGGACAATAGATTCAATATCAAAGGTAAAATATGAAAGTAATAAATCAAATAAATAAATACATAATATATGCCATTTATTTATCCTTAATTAGAGTTCTTTGAATACCATTTAATTCTAGACAGTATGTGCCGAACATTTGTAAAGAAACGATATAGTCTCTATCGTATGGGACGTATCCAACAATAATGTATAACACTTTTTGAGTGAAAGGGAGAAACACAGATCTTCCATTAGAAGTCTGGTTCTTATGATTAATGACTTTTTGTTACGCTTAGATCGAGTGCGTGAGTAATTGAATATGTATCTCTTACGTGTAATTATCTTGTAATATGTTTCTTTGTTAGTTTCGCTGGACTGCTTATGTATTGATGAACATAATATATGTACAAATTATCAGTATTGTTACAGTTATTTATCAATTAAATATTCTAGGATACAAAAAAAATTCCTTAACTAGTGGGATCAGATAGTTTTGTTCTATAATGATTGCACCTTAGGAGATATTTTTTAAACAAAAATGATTTAATCTTCTCTCGATAGGGTCGAATTACTTGAGGTCAATAGTTTTATTCTCAGATGCCATCATGTTATGTACTAGAGAGATAGTGGAGGTGATACAGAAAAAGGAAACGATTTCCGTATTATTGGTCGTTATAAATAATAAAAATGATGTAATAAATAATCTACTGTTTCACATATTTTTTCAATGTGTTTTCTTTTTCTATTTTCTTCTGTGGCAATTGATTTTCTTCATCTCCACTCGCTCTTGTGCTCGCTGTCGTGTTTAAAGTTGCAGAAACCAAGTATGTGGCTTCTGTTGGAGGACTTCGTTTCTGTAAAGAAAAAAAAAATACTTGAAAAGTTGGTAAATTTTTTCTATTAAATCACGAGGCAACAGACCATCTGGTGAAACTGATCTCGTAAAGTTTTTCGTAGGCGTTAGAGCGCGCGTACATCGAATAAAATTTCTCAGGTGAAGAAGAAGAGGACCAAGTGAAAAGTAGCAGGGTGAGTCACTGAGACTCATCGAAGCGTTGAGCAAGTTAGAGGATGGTTGTTCTGGTGCAACTTTTGCAATCGGAACTCTCAACTTTCTTCGCTCTTTCTCCCTTTATCTTTATTTTCTTTTTATTTCCCATTTCCTTAACCTTAGCGAAAGAACATTCTTTAGTATCATTGTGCGCGTATTTTTCAAGAGTTATTGAACACAGCTTCCATTCAAGCGGATATTTTCACGCGTTCTCGGCTAACCGAAGATTCTTTGAAAACTTTAGCTGATTTTTCATGTGTTGAAACGTTTTACAATGTTTTTTTGGCAATTACATGGGTCTGTCGGAGTAAGTAGAGGCTAAGCTAAAAAAAATCATAATAAAAAAGCTTGATCGACCACCCGTTGCTCCGGAATTGCGGCCCGTTCCTAATTGCGTTTCCAGTTTGAAACTCTGTAAGTTTTTCGTTATTCTGGCAAATACCGGTCGTTCGTTGGGAAATTACGATTTCTCTTATTTTCTTTTTTAACTTAAATAAGAGTTGAATCTGCACCGGACATCTTTCACTATTGAGAGAAGCTTCAAAGTACCATTTATACTTTTGCACTTTGAAGAAGAATGAGAGTAACTTCTCTCGTTCTTATCTTCATTTCAGACAATCTTTGACATTTAATTAAAAAGGTGACTGTCTTCATGAACATATTAAAGCTGTCAAACCAACAGTTAAGTAAAACTTATTCTATCTAGATGTAAATTACATCGTAATCGTATTTAATTTTCAAAACTTTTACTTATAAGGTTTCATAAATGATAAATTTTGTTGTACAAGTCTTTGTAAATTTTACGGGATTTATTTTTCCAATGCGAAACGTACGATCGAAGCGGGACACGAAGAAATAAAGAGAAAGAGAGAACTTAAGCTCTAAAACTATTTGTCGTTAACTTGCTCGTCCACTTTGGCAAGAGACTGGTCGTTTTCTTAGACTTGAGAGTTCGTCTGGAGTTTCGTAAAATTTCCCCCGAGTGTCTTCTCACCGGAAGCACTATTGCGCGTTCAGAGGATTTCGTGTTTGGAGCAGTAATTTTGTTTCACGATATTTTAAGAGAAGAGAGTTAGCCATTTTGTACATCTACTATCGTGTAGTTTGCTTTATTGGACTGTTGATGAAATACTTACTTCTAAATTATTTTCTCGGAGCTCTTCAAGTTGGTACTCAAGCGGATCAGTTTCATTCCTTCTGTCAGAGTTGGTTTTATATTCATTCCACTGATTTATCAAAGATTTCGAGTTGCCATGAAGTAGTTGACTTGTAGGATCATCCTGGTCAATATGTCTTGTGCTATCATCAGCTGAAGTATCTTCAACATCATTCTTCCATTTATTACTTGGATATTTAGATGGTGAAACAGCAGATACAGCGATAAATGCATTTCTCGTTCGAGCAGTTCCTTCCAATGAACCTGGCTTAGAGATTGGCCCGGCATTAACCTTGTGGTACGAAAATTGCTTCCATTTGGGTGGCCACGTAGCTGAGTGACTTGGTTGTTTGCTAAACTCACTGTTCCAGTCGGTTAATTTTCCCTGCCAAGCATTATCAGGTCTCTCTTGCCACCTAGACGTTCCAGCATGCTGGAATGACTGACGTTGTTTAGTTTCGTAGGGTGTCCAAGTCGATTGATCTGCAGGCATAACCCAACCACCAACCGACTGAATCTTTGGAGACATTTCGACAGGCCACACTTTTCTATCATTACTCCAATGATGATTGTCTTCTTTCACAGGTTCAATCTCATTTCCCGTTTTCATTTCACCCTTATTGTCATCTTTATCAATTAATTGTTCTTGTTTATCAAGCCCAAGCTTCCTAACTAGGTCAGCATTGGGATTGTAAGACTTTCCATTTTTATCTTTTGGCCAGGGCTTTGCACTGGAAAGTTTAAAAGGCCAAGTCGCTGGATCTGAAGTTAAACTATTCCACGTCTTCATTGTGATCTTGGGGAGAACGACGTTCTCTTCTATCTGTTTGGACTTTAACACCTCGCTAAGTTCTGAGTGATTTCTATTCTTGTCAGCCACAACTACATCTCTACCGTAACCCTTTGATCTTGAAGATTCATCAACTAAATTCCATGGCGGCATTTCCATGTTTTTCTCAGCCGACCAGGAATTAAACTTCCCGTACATTCTCCCTTCAGTGTCATTCTCATCTTCGAGTTCAAATATTGGTCTCCAGAAACTCTGCCATGGTCGATATCTTGTGCCCCAGTTACTTCTGTCATCTTCATAGTCAGAACTCATTGGAGGACTTAAGTTATATCTCGAATATTTGTGAGGCTTATTAAAGAATCCCCAATGGTTCAGAAACTTATTTCGAGGATAGTTCAAAGAGTCTTGATAATCATTTAAACCATCATCCCGAACTTCTCCAGAGTATTGGTTGTATTGATCGTATCTATCATCACGGCTTCTCGATCTAAGATATGTTGGCTTAGGCAATTGATAATACAGAAGTCGAGAGTTAGGGGAAGACCCAGTCGTATCAACTCCATAAACAGACGTTTTCGAATCGTGTTGATCCAGTGGCGAACCCTTCTCGTGAGTATTTATCTTCCCAAAGTGAAACTTTCTTGATAGGGGATATTTCCTTAGAGAATCGCGTGCGGCTGGAACTTGATCGTTAAGGTACCCAGAATTCTCGTCACGGTGATTAGGAGTCATTGACTTCTGTTGTTTCGCTGAAACTGCGTAATGGATCTTTGCTAAATTTGAGGGCTTTCGTTGATCAGAATCTAACCACAAAGACCCTAGGAACCTGTCAGGATATATTTTCCAAGGAAATGTCGTTGTTTCTGTAAGTGAAGTCGTGGGAATAGTAGGTGTTGATGATATCTCTGTGGTCATAGCCAATTGATTTCGCACCTTCTTCTTTTTCTTCTTTTTTTTCTTGGGTTTCTCTGCCGTTGATTTCAACTTTTCCAATACCGACAAAGTGTTAGAGTTCGAAGGTTGCTCGAGGAAATTGTTATTATCACGTTTCTCAGAATCCAGTGCCCTCGTATAAATTAGATCGTCCTCCATGTCCTCTGAAAATTTTCACTTTATAAAAATCAAGTACATAATAAACTCTAAAATAAAATGATTGCAATTATCTTTATTCTATTTTCTTTGTGCCAATGAGTAAATAGACATCATTATTTAACACAGTGATAAAAATTCTGTAATAATATTTTTTCTAGACCTGATTAATAACATCCGATTATACATCCAAAGTTTTAATTCCTTTTATTTTAAGCCACTCTGCAATTTTATTTTACTGAGTTACTAAGTTTAAAAAAGTTTTTGAATGATTAATTTTTTACTTTTAATATTTGTGTGTCAATTATGCTTGTAATTTAACTAACTCTTATTCATTCTTTATTAAATTGTTGAGTAGAAGATAAATACTATATCTTTGTGATTTTACTCTTCCTCTAGTAAGTGAAACGTACAATATTCTATGAATATAGATGAAAATATTTGAATTAAAAATATTTAATTCCACGTTTTCAATTTAGCTTTAAAATATTTTTACATGGTTCGTTCCTTTATAACAAGTAATTTAACTCATACAGACTGTTCATTTTTTGTTTCAGCTAAAATGTATTAATGTAATTGAAATTTAAGAGGAACCTGAGAAAAATGTAAAAAAAGTAATGCAACACTTTTCTAGGATGTCATAATATCTAATCAGAATGAGCTGGCATATACCGGAAGGTAATTAAGAGGTGAAATGGTTCGGTAGAATTGTGCAATAAAAGAGCTGGAACGTTTTGTGGTGAAATTGGTGGAATGATTGTTCAGCTAATAATCCGTTTAGTCGATTGTACCATTCTGGATATTTCAATTGTCTATCTATATTGTAGTTATTTGAAGATATTTTCTTTTAACTTTCACTTAAAACGTTTGTGAAATTATTTAAGTGATTTAGTATTAACGGACCAATAAATTATTCTTGAATAGTTACGATCAAATTCAATACATAACACTTCTGAAATTTGTTCTTCTTCTCTCTCTACCTTCTACGCTTTTATTCTATCAAATACTCACTTAGCAATTCGTGAGCCCGTTCCCATCGTTTTGGATTCTCTGCAAGCTTCACCAATAACTCCATCAAGTTTTCGACTAGGGCATACTCTTCAGTCTGATCAACAGAATGAGAAAACATATTTTAACAAAGAGATAGATGATTGAGATGCTTACAGTTTCAACAAACTTCTATATATTCAGAAAACAATTAATGATAATGGAAACTAAATAGAATTTAGAATAATGTAGAATTATAAATGATTAAATTGACATGCATAAATTGTATTCAATCAATATGAGTAATATTTCATCATAATATATAAATGATACTTATTCGATAACAACTCCACATGGATTGATGTTGATAGGTTTTATAGGAAATAGATATCTGTCAGTTAAAAATTCACATATTATGAGTGCTATAAAACATGTGTCAATTCTCTCTCATGCTTTTACTTCACAAGTGTATATGTATGTTATCTGAGTTATCTTCGTCTTTTTCCAGTTCTCTCTATTTCCTTAACCTTGGCCCATATGTATATGTAGGCCGTTAACTTATTGGCTGATATTCATCAAGTCTATGAAGTTCCACTAAATACTGATGGAGTAACTAACCCTGACTAAAGTTCTCTAACTTTCCCATTAATTATAACAATACCTCATTTGTCTTAATGAAACATTTTGACTACAAGTTATCCTTCAAAATGAATTGTAAGCAATTATGGTTAAACACCTATACAACAATTTTTTCATGATGTAACCGAAAACAAAAAGTGTTCCAATTATTCAACAATCGACTTTGAACTTCTTATTATCATAATCATAGAGGGAAAAAGTCGATTCAATACCCAATCCATTAATCTAATGTCGTTTGAAGCATACATAAAAGATAATGACAGGTGGTGTAGAGACGGTAATTGTAATTTGCAACATATTACAATGATTGCTTATCCAAAATAAATTTGATCAAGCATAGTTTATGTAAGCAAATAGAATTGGTAAATATAACTTTATTCTGAAAGATAAATGAAAGATTTATAATTGAAAAGCTTATTTTATTAATATTTATTCATTAAACCGAAGCCTGTATTCAATAACTCGAAAGTAATTAATATTTATAAACGATCAATTTACAAACATTGAGTTTGATAAACGAGTTTTCTATCCGGATTCATCCTAGGTGACATCTTCGACACATGAGGGATTGATATCCCAGAACTTTTTCCTTAATTTCCCGCGAGATTCTCTGAATAGAAATTTAATCTCATATGGTTAAATAGCGGTTGAATGCAGTTCAGGTTTGATTGAAAGTATCGTGAACCAAAAGTGCACAAGGATGGATGGGGATATGTATATAGAAAAGGGAAAAAGAGAAAGGCCAATAAGAGAGAAAAAAATGTATGTGTAGCCGGCATTTCGCCAGGAAATTGACTCGAGAATCGAAGTAACAAGAAATGTAGCACTTTGTCATATGACCGAGGGCGTTTGTTCTTCTTTGCTATTTCTGTCTTTTCATCTCTCTTCTTATCATTTCCGTTTTCGCATTACTTTTCTCTCTTATCCATTTCCCTGGGGATTTCAGGTTGCAGACGAAATTGGTTCCTCTTTCACACCGCTGAGATTCGAACCCAAAGGGATGTCAAAGGATCATAAAAATTGAAAGGAAAACTTTAGATTCAGTAGCAAATAGAATAATGTTGGGAGTACTCATTTCTATCTACTTAAAATTTCTTATCTTCTTGATAATATTGTTTTGTCGAGAATTTCACGAAAATTAAGTACTTTCTATATAGCTTTATATCTAAATTCTTGACTTAAAAGTGCAATTTTTACCCTAAGTTTTAGTTTTTGCAATTTCTCGAGCTCCAATGGATGTGTAGAAGGTAAATGAGTTCCAAAACCCTTGAGATCAGATTGCCATCTCTTGTTGAGCTTTCCAAGGCTTTGCGTAGGGACATCTGAATCAACATACTCTCCACCACCTTCTTCTCTCCCATACGTTCCATCTCCACTTGGTCTCCTCTCAACAAAGGATCCTTCATTAATCCTCTCATTTTCCAACTACAAATTTAATCTCATTATTATCATTTTCTCTGTGATTTTTATTCATGGATGACTCAGCATTACACTAGTTTTTTCATTTAATATCTTCATTTAGAAAATAATTCATGATATAATGAGGTAATTCAAAAGAATCTACTATTCAATTTTTATCTAAAAAATGCTGAATATTTTTTTTAAATGTATAAAAATGAATTCAGAAATTGGAATTTTAATTAGAATTTAAACTTTCAAACAATTAATAGTTTTTTAATCAAAAGAATCCATGGAAGATTAATTTTTTCAATAATTTTATTTATGTTACCTTTTGGAATAGTGATAAAAAGCTTTCAATTGAATATTTATTTACCCTGTCATCAATTTTAACTCCAGTTTTACCTCTATTGATTTTTAGACCTTTTTCTCCATGAAATATCATCTTTATTCTATCAAACGGTTTGATCTTCAAGCTAATAGAGAAAAATTACCGAATTATTGTCGATCAATCCTCGAGTTTTTACAACATTTTTCCCCTCAAGTGATCCCAAAGTCTCTGCCAGTATATCAAACATAGTTTCGTTCCCTTGTATTTCTTTTTGTGTATTAAGTTCTTTTTTTACCGTTGGAACACGTTTCATCATCGATCTCGTTTGACGTTTGAAGTTTATAAGCTCCTCTACCTATGTACATAAAGTACAAAGAAAATTTTATAAAGCAATGAGAAAACAAAAACAAGTAATCATGTGAACATGTTAGTATGATAGATATATATTTATGAAATAAAATATACTTGCCTCTGTACTGAGTTTTGTTTCAGCACTAATTGCTTCGTTAGAAGTCATGCTTTCATCAGAACTCTCTTCAACGCTCTTCTCACGTGAATCAAAGTTTTTTGCGCTTAAAACTGAACCTGGAGAAACATTTGCATTTGAATGACCTAAGTTATCTGTTGAATTGGTCTTTTCATCCCTGGACATTGCTTCGTGGGACTCAGCAATGTCTCGCAGTTCGTCTTCATATTCGTCCTCGTCTTTATTGTCGCTATCATTCTCATCATCTTCATCATCATTATCATCGTCATCCTCATCTTCATAATTTACGCCAGACTCTCGATCAGCGTCTTTCAATCTTTGCTCCGTTGTTGCAGGCGTCTAGAGTTTTTAAGTATGTTTACACATCACTTCAGTTTTGCAAGCTGATATTTTTTTTTTTATTAAATTGCAAGCTGATATTAATGAAGGGGAAATGTTTCTAAATATTTTTTTTTAATAATGATGACGAAATAATGGAGTTCTAAGAAATTTTTTTTAGGAGATATTTCGTGTGATCTTTGGGTTTGAATATTTTTTTAAATGATAATTATTTTTTATCTTGTTATTAAGAACAGTATAGAAGGGAGCTTTTGAGATTTTTATAAAATGTCCATTCGTTTTTATAAATGAAATTGGTTTTGATCAACATGTTTGGAGTAACAAATTTTTTTATTTCTATGCAGTGAGAATACTTCTTTTTTTTTATTGTTATCGACTTTTTTGCCATGAATTTATTTCGAATTCTAATAGATGAAAAAACCGTCATAAATTTTTTTCTTGTTATATCTGTTTTGGCAATATTTTTCGTCTACATATACGAAAAGTATGAAATATTTTAATTGAAGAGTTTACAATTGAAACATTCTTTTTTAGACATTTTTATTTTCTTCTTTTTTTCAATCAAGTTAATTATATTTCTTTTAAGACTAATTTATCTAATTAATAAAGGTTAAAAAAAATTCTTGAACATTTTTAAAATATAATCACAATTTTGTCATCATTATATTCACAAGCTCGAGCTCATGTTATTATTTCAGAAAATCTTTATTAATTATTCGTTGCTCTGAATCACATTTACTTATCTTATTTCATCATAATTATTTTTCATGAAGAAATATTAAGAAAAAAAAAAACTACCGGAATATTTACCGTGATAATCTTCTGCTGTTGCACCTCTCCTTGTTTATCATTGTCACCATCTGCAACTAATAAAAAAAACTCAGTAAATACAGACGTTAAGTAGTGAAAATCATGAATAGTCAGACAAGTCATATACTGTATCTTATTTTATGTTAATTTTTTTAATACAACAGCTTATTCAAAATACCGTCTTCTAACTACATAAAACTTTTTATGCTCTAGATTTATATTTTTTTTCATAATACCAAAAGTTACTGAGAAACGCTTCAATCTTTTTTTTATTCACCAAGCCAGGTAACAGATGCATCCGATGAATATTCCTGCAACCACTGTAGACTAAGTTTTTTAATTGACCGCTATAATTCTACTTGGAATAAGAATTTTAAAGAAAAAAAAAAAAGAAAGACAAAATGAATGAAATTAAGATACAAAAGCTTTCAATTTTTTCTTCATGTAAAAATCCAACAAACAGTAGTGGATTTTAAAATGGTAAAACTTGGCATAAAATAAACATTTTAAAATGATAATTAATTCATTTAATATTTATTCACTGATAATCTATTCGGTAAACAAAAAGATATGAATAAAAATTTGTTAAGCCATTTTTATTGATTTGTGTGTGTGTGTGTGTATTTGGCATTCAAAATAAATAAAAGATGAGTAAAATATAAAAGAATGCTGAGAAAAAAATTATTCGATAGAACTTTATTTGGTTTGTTTTTTTGAAAATAGTATTCAAACAATAAAAACCTTTTACAGAGAATGAGTAAATATTTTAGTATTTTAAGTTTATATATTGTTCGAATAAGAAAAAAAAAATTTCGGAAAATTTTATCATGACAAAGACTAAGTTTTGTTTGAGCTAAAAAATATTTTCCTCTTTCTTTCATTTTATATTCCTTAAGTAAGTTTGTCGTTGTTTGTATGATTTACGGTGTAAGTATATTTTATTGTAAAAGCTCATATTTATCAATCTAATAATTAAATGTATCACAAAAAACTCTTTTCTTTCTACATTTTTATCTCTAGCTCCACTCAATTACTCTAAAGTCTCTTAATTTTATACATAGCCATAAGCATCGTCGTATTTAGGTAAGAGAATGATATGAAAATATTGAAAAACATACAGTTGTTCTCTCAAATGAAGTGGTAGGTTGAAAAAAAAATGTATGAAAAAATCTAAAAGGCGTAACAGCGGGATCTTTTTTTCTTCATCATTTACATTGTTCTATTTCTTCCTTTTTCCAACACGAAATGACCAGACGTTCCGGAAAGTACGTTTACACTGAACGTGATCGGTGTACGAAAAATATATATCAAATACCCACTGTCAGAGAGGATGGAGTAGACGCGAGGACTTATATCGAGCCGAATATTGGACGTAATGCATCGACGCTGCAGTTTTCCAATATTTCATTCAGCAGTGGTTGGACAAGCCTTTACCTAACTTGACTCTCTTTGCACCCAACTGCTCCACACAACACTATATAGCACTCAGTTTTCATACCGCAACATCCACGCGCTATACCCTCTGGCCATTTCAGGCTTCCGGAAAGCTACAACTAATAAACCGGAAAGCAGCTTCAAACGCTCGCATCATTGGTGCAAATATTACTTCTACTACCGGTTCAATAAGCTCTATCATTTTTATCATCCTAATAAATATTTCTTTTTGCTCACAGTTTTCAACCACTCCATTAGTTGATATTGGAAAAAATATTCCTGACAAATATGGCCATAGGTGTCATGAATTTTAATTTGATCTGCTCATTATTCAATCTTGTTTATTGTCACTATCAGTAATTTCATTCTTAATAGAAAATTAAAAATAGTAGATTATAAAAACAATGCAATTTTCACTTTTTTTATATTGGCTTTTTTATGGCTGCTGAAATAGAATAATCTTTGATCAGAATATTTGTGTTAGTATTCAGGAAAAATTCCACAGAACGAAATTCTCTTTGGGAAAAAATCCAGCTGTAATTTTTTTTTTTCACGTTTTCCATTTAATGAAAAGTTTAATTAACAATAATTATTCCTATTTATATTTGTTTAGTGAATATTTAACTTTAAAGTTAATGTCCAAAATCAATTAGAAATATTATGGAATAATTGTCAATAGATAATTCGAGTGAGATATTTATTTTATTTATTAATTCACATCAATGGGTATTAACGAAAATTATTCCAACAAGCTTTTTGAAAGATACAGCTATCCTATTTTTTTTTTTTATATAAATCTCAATCATGTGTTAGTGAGTTTTAAATTTTCCAGTAAAAGGAATATCTACGTTATAAAAAATGAAGAGAGGATTCATTTGATGATGAATAAAAAAATCTCGTGGATATAAATGGAGAAGGCAATTTTACAAGTTCAACTATTCAGTTCATTTTAATTTTTAAAACATATGAATAGATCGTTGAAATTAATATGATGGTATGAACATTAATAAAGGAAAAGGGTAATGTATTTTAAATAAAAACGTTACTAGAGCATGTATTTTCAGCGTCCAGATAAAATTTAATTATTGAATTAACTTCTTCTACCTTATAAATATATCTCATCTGGAATGTTATAAAACATCAATCATAGCTAAATTTCTATTATTGGATCAAGCAAAAGTTTAGATTCATTGTATTCTATAAAAATATTTATTTTTATAAGAAGCTTTAGATATCTTGCATAATGAGACATATAGGATTAAGAGCTTAGTATTTATAATACGATGAAATAGAATATTACGAAGTGTTTATGATATTTATGCTTAAATATGAAAACAAAATTTAATTTCATATTCAAGTTTTTTAATAAAAATAATTCTCATAAAATAATTTTTGAAAAAAGTTTGTTTCATAACAAAAACTGATCAGGAAGTGAAAACTTTATCGATGAAAATGTGGCCTCGATATCCTTTCGTGTAATATATCATAAAAATACCACGTTGAGGGTTGAAATCAATGAAAAGGTTCAAAATAAAATTGAAAAATATAGAATACATTTATTTTCCTCATATATAGACGTATGTGAAGTCTTGCCAGTTGCTGGCAATTTTGAAATATCCAATAAAGCTGAGTAGTTTCCGGTCTTGAATTGCCATTCAACAAGCACACGTTATACCAACTAAGCACATACAAGGGCACGTGTGTTTATCAGAAGACCCAAATGTATTGACGAAATGAAGAGATGCTACAGAAATAGGGATGAGTCCAAGTACCGAATAGGATGTACGGACGATATACACTCCTGTTCATGCTTATCGTTCTGTAAGCTGGAAGCCATTATATTCAGCAGGACACTCGATGCATTTCCGTTATTCCCCCAGAGTAGGAGCATGTATCATGCTGCATCCTCCCTATGTGTGTTCTATGGACTGGCATAGCAGGTGAATTTCACCAGTTCCCTTGTTTCGTCAACAGATGAATTACTATGCAACGGATATTACATTTTTGTGGTCCAATTTGAATCAAGCGTAAATTAAAAAAATTCATCTAAAAGCAAGGTATCATAAATTTACTTTTATATTTTGATTGAAAGTTGTTTCCGATTATTCATCGGATAGATTTTATTGAATTACCATTTTTTCCAATCTTGAATTTGCTAAGAGAATTATTTTAAAAGATTGGTTGAAAAAATCTGCTCAGAAAGATCATGAACACAGACTTTTGATTACAGAAAAATGTTCTAAAGTCATTGATGCCAGAAGAAATTTTTTGTCTCAGTTTTAGTAAAGAAAAAAAAATTTTATTTCATCAATTTATGAAACAATTATTTATAAAAGTATGACATTCGAAGAACATCTTTGCCAAGAATTTATTTAACTAGTGGTTTCACTCCTGAATATTGTGAAAAAATAAAAGAAACTGAACAGAAGAGAGGATTATTTACTAACGTTAACAAGTCTCCTTTTAATACTATTTCTTTCGTGGTTCTATGTAGTCACAGTCAATGCAAGTAGTCTTCTTTTGTTGTACAAGCAAAGAAAATACAGCGCTTTCTTCGACAGGTAAGAAAGCAAGGATTTGGATGTATCAAGTCTTGAAAAACTTGGATACTCTCTGTCGTTTAGGTATTTGAATGAGTAGCAAAGAAAATAATTTTTGTAATGTTTATTGTTTGAAGAAGAAAAGAAATATAATATATAATAGAAATGTTACTTACTACGTTACTATTTATTTTCTAAGGAAGATATTTTTAGAGTAATACTAGAAAAGATTGAAATTAAGGTAATTGAGAACCACAGAATAATTAAATACTGACTATCTTGATTATCAGACCAAGAAGTATGATCCTGGAAAATCAGATTAATCCTGTTCGGAGAATGATAAAATTTATATTTTATCCATAGATGAAGAAGTATTGCGAAGCTATAGCTATATCAGAAAACTTAAAATTGTATGCTTCAATGGATTCCTTTCAATATAAAAAGAAATTCAAGTGATCCACAAAATCAACCTGTTTTTTTCAAGTTGACTATAGTAACCATTTTCTGCAGCATGATTCTATGAGGAATTTCAAATGAATCTAAATATTAGCAGAGGACAATCAAGGAGAAAAGTCAGATTCAACTTGAAAAAAATCACCCGATTTTGTGGCTCAATTACATGATTTTTTATACTAAAACAAATCCACTCATGCACACGATTTTGAGCTTGCTGTAGTTATTCGTTCAAGAGCTTGTTGTTCATTTATGTAAGGACGTAAAACCTCAGTCGTAGCAATTTTTATGTCTGACGTCTAACATCATACGTTCTGTATTTTTCGGACTTGAACTGATTTGAGTGGCCTGCAACGCAAATCCAAGTGCATTCTTGTTACACATCTAAACGTGTTTTATATGACGTCATTCGTTAACATTGTAGTCACTTTGAAAAAGTTTTTAAGTGTGTTAAAAGTTACTACAATGTTAATCAAAAGGTTTACGTTAAACACGTTTGGATGTGCAACAAGAATGCACTTGGATTCACAGTGTGATTATACTTTTTAATTAATGATAACACTTTTAATGCACTGGTAAAAATATCAATTTGTCCTTTTTAAGATAATGATCAAATTATTTTAAAGAAT